GTTACCTAATCCTAATCCCTAAAGTGTCTCTCAGAATGTCCAACTGGACTGCACTTTCCAACAGTATATATATGTATGACTCTCACTTGCTGCTGCTTGTTCTTGCCATCCATCTCCAAGACAGCTTCGATCAACAACACCTCTACCCAGCAGATTTACCTCTAGCAACGACCACTCGAAAAAACAGAAACCCGACAACGACAGCAAAAATGCAATTCACAACCTTCGCCTTCGCCGCTGTGCTTCTGTAGGGAACCTCACACCCTTCCGACTGTGCGAATCCTCAACAAATGCTGATTCCTGACCTTGCAACAACAGCAGCCCTCTGGCCCTCGCCCAGGCTCCCGCTTCCAGCTTCGGTGTTCCAAACCCGAATGACATCGCTGAAGTCGATTACTGCCAATGTGTTGGTATGAAAATCCCTTCAATCACAGAGCCAAGTTGAAAAGAAAGGACGACCGATTTCTAACGCTTTTGATGAACTGCTTAGGTTTCACCGGAGCACCCAACGACGTTCCAAATAATCAGTATACCGACAAAGTCTGCATGGGCTGGGCGGGAGCACTTTCTATTATGAATGGCAGCTTCCGGCAGGTAAGTTTCTCTTTTTTCTCTCCTCTCCCTCCTCCTCCTCGTTATTCATATTGCTACTATACCAGTGGTCGTACAATTGTCCTCTCCCTTCTCATAGTCATCGAAAGACTCTTTCCATACCCTTGCCTGCATCGGCCACATCCAAAAAGACAAGAACGTTGACTAATCGCAACACACAGTGCACCAACGTCAGTCCCGACGCTATTACCGGTTTCAGCAACACTTGCGCTTCCTACGGAGAAGCTGGTGCGAGGGGTGCGAAGTGCTGTAAGAGAGGACAAGCTTGGAGCGAATGCCAGATGGTGATTCCAGGAGAGAATGGCGGAAAATGCTCCTGATTGATTGATTGAAGCACAGCTGCGGTCTCGTATAGACTTAGTACCTGATTTGTGGGGAAAGAGAAAGAGAGAGAGACACTAAGGGGACCACTTCTGATGTGGAGCTGAAACTAGAGGGACCGATTCTGCCGCTTTCGGATCTATACATGATCACAAACTCCGCGCGTTCCTCGTCATTACGATCCTTAAAATAGAAATTGAGAAAAGCAGGAACGAATGTCACTTGTATAACTTTCCTGTTTTCGCTGTTCTTCTGTCATACTTTCTTTACGCTGATTGGACTGAGGATCGCACTGCCGACAACCTTCTTCAAGATGCAATTCACCACTGTCGCTTTCGCTGCTGCGGCGCTTTTGTATGTGCGCTACATAAATGACACAGGAGAAGAACGATCGCTAACGTGAACGCTTGGACAACAGCAGCCCTCTGACTCTCGCTCAACTTGGCCGTGCTGGAACGTCCCCAAGTGAAGACAGTATCGCAAGTGCAGACTACTGCCAATGCGTCGGTATGTAGTAGCAAGCTGGCGGTACTCTTCACCAGTCGACTAACATTCCCTTCTTCCTCAGGCTCCTTCGCTTTCCCCGACGAATCTCCTAACCAACCTCTCACCGAACTGGTCTGCAACGCTTTCCAAGGCAACAGGACCGATGTGGATGGATATGCTCAGGTAAGATCTTTCTTCCCACTTCACACACCTCCTGTTGTCACATCGGACATAGTGCTGATTCTGTCATTCTTTGACACTGTAGTGCTTCGGCGTAAGCCCTCCCAACTCCGGCTTCTCCAACTTCTGCGCCTCCTACGGAGACAACGGCGCCAGAGGCGCTCGATGCTGTAGCCAAGGCCAAGCATACAAGGATTGCCATGTGATCATTCCGGGTATCAATGGAAAATAAGCAGACTGGAGGCCGGTTCGGAGAAGGCCTTTTCTTGTTTTGGTCTGGAGTCTTATGTCTCATTGTAGTAAGTTTTGCTACAGTAAGGAGGTCATTTGACACTTTTGGGGAAGTGCCAAGTCATACCGCTAGGACGTATACGTGTCAGACCGCACAAAATTGGATAAATTGCCAGTTCCGAACGTCAAGGCTTCATTTTATCGAGAAAAGGCACGCGACCAGAAGGCTGAGCAGCTTACAGAAGTTTCTTGGCCCGAGTACCAAGCCTTTGACCCATGATTGTAGCCCTTAAGTTGGCCGATTCTACCGGGTCTTTGGTCTGATTCTGGTCCTCTTCTGGATTCTAGAATTCCCCATGAGGAAGGGAGGTCCTTTTGTGTATAAAGTCCAGGTCAGGGACGGTGTGGAGGCCTGGTATTCGACACGCTTCGATTGGCATTGACCTTACAGTTCAGTAAAGATGCAACTCACGAAATTCGCTTTTGCCATTGGGCTTTGGTGCGTACAGATCAATGTACGTGATGAAGCTTGACTTACCAGAAATAGGAGCTCAATAGCCACTGCTCACCTTGCTGCTCGTCTTACGATTGCCGCTCCAAATCCGGATAGTGTTGCTGAGCAGGCTTATTGTCAATGTGTTGGTTCGTGGTCCACTCATCAACGCGGAGTTATTCTGATTGAGTATGAGGGATGAGAAGGAAGCTGACATTCTCTTTCTCACAGGCACCGCCAGGCCCGACGATGCGATTCCCGATGACCTGCCCAACAAGGAAGTATCTGTAACAGCTTGCAATGCTTACTCAGGCATTCTATTCGATGTGGATGGGTTTCCGCAGGTAAGTGAGCAAGTCGTTCTCAGGTAATGGTCAGACGTGGCACTTCCGCTATGCTATGTCTGACAAATATCCGAACGAGGTTCGTGCGAGCAAGATCTTGTCTAACTTTTTTGTCTTTCGCAGTGCCAAGGCATAGACCCTACTGCGGTCTCTGGTATCGCCGCGTTCTGCGCTTCATACGGCGTAATCGGTGCCAAAGGTGCAAGATGCTGTACTGGAGGTCAGGCGTACAAAGACTGCGATGTTGTCATCGCGGGTCCCAACGAGCAATAGGAGGATCCGGCGGACTGCGATCTCTGCTCTCGGTATTCGGATACTCCGTGCTTTCCACGGAAGAAAGAGAAGACTTGATGAGAGACCAGGAGCGGGATTGCGGATCAGATGACAGATGATTACTGTCCTTGTCGTTAAGGTAGGGATGACAGCTCAAACCGAAACCTTATCTGTTTGATCGCTCTCGGGACTGGCTGAGCGCTCACCGATTCGGCCCATCATCGTTGCTGTCGTTCTCATCGAACTTTCGAAAGACAGGTGACAGCTGCACGAAGCATGCCTTTTGCTGATGTTTGACTTTGCATCTTTTTGAAAGCGGTGCGATTTGCTAGATGGATGTTGCTCTGCCGAGGTCAAAGATGCTTCGTGCAATGCGACATTTTGGAACGCAATTGCATGGAACCATAGCCAGCGGATGATCAGATTCATCCAGGTTGGCCTTCTCTGGCTCATGATCAACCGCCTAGGTCAAGTTGTCTTATCAATCAGTACAGATCACCAATTCGTCAGTGTGCAGAAATCTAGATTTCGTCACCGAGCAAGCCTCACGACTGCGACCATGCCTGTAGAGCTTCCGTTTTATCCTCTCAGATTGGTAGGGTCTTACACTTCACCGCATGTTCTTCTCACTGCGATATAGAGAAGGTGTGTCGAACGACGAGACAATTGTCCATGCTGTGACAGAATAGAGATCCGGACCCTAGAATCATAGAAGCCAAGCCGAGCAAGATGGCCACGTCCAATCAGCCGGAGCGACACCTGCGCGAAGATGAGCAAGAGCAAGATGAAGAGCAAGTCTTCAGCGACGACCGTAACGATCCACCGATTCGGCGAGTTATTGGTATCGTAGCCCTCATCGTCCTCGGAGAGAGTCTTGCGGCTACGATCTTATTTCCCTTCATCGTATTTATGGTCCGGTCATTTCCGCATATCGAAGAGGATAGAGTTGGGTGGTACTGTGGTTTGATCAGTACGTATTGTCTCAGGCAATGCTTTCTGCTGGCAGAAAGAGCCTCCACGCATTGGATGCATTCAAGAACACGACTGCTGATTCTTTCCCATCAGCTTCATCGTACTTCATTCCGCAGATGTTCCTCGCACCCGTTTATGGGCTCATAAGCGATCGGATTGGAAGGAAGCCGATTTTGATCTTCGGATTGCTGGGGGCGTCGATATGTACGTTTAGATTTGGAATGGCGCAGAGCTTGATGGCTGCCATGATTTCGAGGGCGTGTGCGGGATTCTTCAATGGTATGTTCCGGATTGCGCTGGTCGATGATAGGCTCATTCCTGGTTGCTGATTGTTGTATCACAGGCACAGCTCCTGTCTCTCGAAGCTGTGTGGGCGAGTTTGCGAACCAGGTGGGATTGAACAAGGCCAAGGCTATGGGGATTTTCGGGTTCTGTTTCTCGCTGGGCTCGATCATCGGTCCATTGATCGGAGGGTATTTGAGCAAGGTATAGTCCGTGTTCCGTCCACTGCGGAGAGTGTTTCCGTCGTACCATACTAATACCGTAGAGCAGCCTGACTTTAGTGGACCAGCGGGCGCCTTCGCAGAGTACCCGTACCTTCTGCCGTGCGCTGTGTTGACAGTGTACAATTGGTTCACAGCTCTTGTGACATTCTTCTGTCTACCAGAAACGAATATACACCGGAAGCCACTACGAAAGGTCCAAGTTACGAAGCCGCCGGAGGAGCAACCATTGCTTCCATCATCAGAGAACTCTCGAAGTCGGGCACATGTGTCGGCTGTCTTTCTCATCATATTGGGACAAGGGTAAGCGACGCCACCGAGCACGTACGTATGTCTGGTTGACTAAATGTGACCGTAGTATTCTCGCCCTTCACGCCGTTGTCTTCGATGAGATGTATCCCGTGATTGCAGCGTCCGCTCCACCTATCGGATATGGCTTCACCGCGAAGCAAATCGCTCGCTCGCTGCTGGTTCTCGGTCCATTCGCAATCTTTACACAGCTCGTTTGTTATCCTTGGCTGAGCAAACGAGTCTCATATGTGAATTCGTGGCGGATTTCTTCAGTTTTGTTCTTGTTCATCTATGGCATCTTCCCTTTCATTCCTGGACCGCAGACAGCGCCGGCTTGGCTAGAGTGGACGTGCTTGCTTCTTGCACTTTCTGTCCGCATCGCAGGGCTGGTCATAGGGTATACGAGTATAGCGGTCTTGGTAAGTCTTATTCGCTGCTGGTCTACCTTCTCGCTCTTACTACAGCGAGCAAGTGGGCTGTTCACTGACAAAAGAACTCGCCATTCAGGTCATTGACATTGTACCACCTCAGCAGGTTGGTATGTATGTTGGCTTCTCGCAGACTGCAATGTCCGCAGGGCGAGCAATTGGTCCTGCGCTCGGAGGCATGGCATGGTCTTGGGGTCTTAGGAACAACCTGCCTGCGCCATGGGACGAGCATTGTCTGGTGAGTACCTTGGACCCGTGTATCTGATGGGCGCCTTTCTAACGTAAGCAAGTATCTGTTGCAAATGTTCCTGGCGTGCTTGCAATTCCTGACATCATTTGGATTGAAGGCTGCTCGGGACTCGATGATGGCCAAGTAAGGAAGGCAGTCTCTTGATGGAAGTGGCCTGGCTTCTCCTTCCCCACGCTTGGGCGTACGCGCTTGCATTTTGACCCCTGTGACTGTGACTGTGGCTCGATAGAGTGCATCCTCAGGCAAACTACATGTACACCTCGTGAACAGAGGTTCAGCTTAGAAGAACCACTCCGGCAACATGTCAACGCCGAAAGCTTCACGTCGGTCCAGAACCTGACAACACCGCGTGTCTTGGCGCTTGCTTTACACGACCCAAGGAAGGGAATGCTCAATTTCAGAGATGAGCTGCCTGTTACAACCACAATCAAGGTGCGTATTACTCTACCGGGTCATTTTCACGTGGCTCACTGAAGATATGGCTTTCGACATCCTAAAGACATGCTTCGACCCCCGCTCCAGCATCTGGTTGGGAGTTGGTAATCCCGATCCACAGATTGGTCCTTCACTCGAAAAAGTCTGGATGGGCTCGAAATGTCTGTTACATTATGCTCCAATGATGATAGTCCTGGTCATGGTCGCCGAGTCGTGGGATTCGCACCCAGTCCATAAATTTCTGTTGGAATATTTCGTGTTCTGCTTTTGTCGATCGTTTTGACTCAAGTACACAAATAAGAACATATAGAGAATTCAATCAGGATGGAAGTGTCGGAGAATCAGAAGCAGCGCGAAGCTGAAGCCGCACAAAATCAAGCATCCCTTTGGTCTAGAGCGCGCACTCGTGCAGGCAGTCTCCACGAAGTTTCGCCCAAGACTCAAGATGAAGCTTTCATCTTTCCACGCCGTACCAGACGTCCCAAGCCATCTGGCCGTCTTGACAGCGCAGGCGACTGGATGAGCCCGCAACCACTAAACGAAGAATTCGAGCACGCCCGCGATAGAGATTCCGACTCTGCCAGCTCAGGGCCGCCCTCTCCACTGGACCTCACGCGGACAACGGAGAGGCAGCACAGACCCTTGCTTCATAATAACAGAGCAAGAGTCGGACAGCCACCTCACCCCACAGCAAACTGCACAGTAAAACCAAAGAAGCGCGCATCATCTCCACAATCTCCGTTGTCGCGAATCCTTTCTCCGCCCCTGGGTTCGTTAACGAGCATCATCGCGCAGCCAGCACCAATCAAAGATATCAATTCGGATGAATGGGCTCGCATGTTCCAAGATGATCCATATCCACGTGGACTCTCGACAACAGGACTGCAGCCGAAGGACTCAGCGTGCAGCCTTCCTGCGACCACAAAGCCACGTCCTGAAGGGTCACAAGACGCCACTTCCAGCATCGCTGAAAGCTCCGACCGAACATTCTCACCTCCACAAGAATACATCGACGCCTTAGTGAAGCGCTGCAGCTTTCCTCGTCGGGAGCCAAGGCCTTCGACTGTTACCACTGTTGAAATGGAAATAGTCGACGGCCCAGGATCCGCGTTTCCGAATGCCCGCTCATCTCTCCAGATCGCACCACATGGTGAAGCTTTCGACGGCATGGGCGAACTTATCGAGAGTGTGCATCTCACTCGTGTGACGAGCTTGGCACAAAGCTATAGGTGCAATGTCCTGTTGTCTCCTATCGAACAAGCCGAGCGGGAACGTAAACACATGGAATTTCGCATGGAAGTCCTGGCAGAATGTGGCAAAAATTGTCAGAATAATACCTCTCTGGCTTCGTTGTGCCCCTTTTGTGAGCATGTCAGCGTTCGATTCAATCCGTCGGATTATCTCGATGGGCCGAATGGCCTAAGACAGAAAGCTCTGGAGGCCAGGCGAAGGCGGGAGGATTTGAGCCCCTTGGATCGCTTCCATGTGGGAATGTATATTTCTTGTGGGCTTTTGAGTACTATCATGACCTACTGCATTGTTATGTATGCAATATGGGCGAAGGAATCATGGCCATTATTGGTAAGCATAACGTCGATTGGCTCTGTGCATTTTTTTTGAGCAAGCTTTTGTCAGCGTTCGAGTAACCAGCATACTGACTCAACACAGACTTGCGTACCGCTCATACCAATACAATATTTGTGCTTCATGGCCTTCTTCGATACGGGGCCGGCACGTGAGAGACCGGGATCGGAACGAGAGCCACTGCTATCGCGAAGTAGGAGACGTGGAAGCCAAAGAAGGATGAGCCACGAGCGAAGAGGGAAAGATGTCTGGGTTGCAGCACAAGGGATGGTTTAAGTTTTCTTGGGCGCATGTCTTGCTAGTCAACCAAGACCTGGTCCTCATATCACCGAAAGTTTGAGTTCCTGTTTTGACCGTCAATCTCAATAGTGATCAGATTACTTTCCAATATCACCGAAGACCGCCGCGGTATACAGACCGAGGATGACTAAAGTCTCATCTAGGAAGAAGATACCGCTTACGCAAACAGCTTGCGGCTTTGGCTTGTCACTTCAGCAATGGTGCACGGATGGTGCGGAAGAGTCTGATGCCCAGCATAGCCCTGCCAGCGTTGAGAAGATCTGCTAGTCGAGTGTACTGTACAAAAAGGTCTTGAGAGCACCACTGCGAAGCAAGATCCAAAAAATATTCGTGCTCGACAACTACAGGCACTACGAAGAGTCTTCTATATCGCAGATTATATTGCTCAACATGGCACCAGCTGAAATCTGCAATCCATCTATTCCGATACCTGACACCATCTGGCAATCGTTCAAGTCTGCCGTATCGAAAACTCCTCAAGATGTTGCCTACACCGTCTACTATGAACCGGCAGACCATCTTCGAGAGCTCCGGTGCCCAAAATATGCACCTTCAGGGAGCTACCTCAACTGGACGTTCGCCGAGCTCGAATATGCCACAGTGAGCTTGGCCGCTGGCATGCTGACTAGAGGTGTGAAACGCGGCTCCATAATGGTGACTTTCTTGCCCAACGGCATCGCGCGTGAACTTTGCTTGTGGGTATCTGTCGCTCTCCAACTTACGCTCTTGCCATGCGACCCGGCCTTGCTTGAGGCTGGTCGTGAAGAGCAATTCAAGGAGTACATCGACACAGTCTCACCAGGAGTTGTGATCGTGAGCGGTGATCAAGCTGCCACAACATGGGAAGAGCGAAGCCTAGGCACGGGAGCATTGCAGTTGATTCTCCAGCCCACCACTCGACCGGATTGGACACGTTTCACCGCCTTACCGCTTCCGAAGGGCGACTACGATGCCGAGTTGGAGCTCATCGACCAGCAAGATCTTGAAATCGAGAATGATCGCGAACGCATCATTGCGATCCTCTTTACCTCCGGCACATCCTCCGGAAAACCCAAAGGCTGCGCCATAAGATCTCGCCAGATCCTCACCGGCGCTCATGGCGATTCTGTCTTCGACAAGCCGGTGCAGTCGTTGCTCGTTCCCTATCCAAATTATCGCGCTGCAGCCAATTGGATGACTTATCATTGTATCCTCCAGAATACAAGACTCGTGTTCCCTTCAGTGGCCGTGGATATCGCGGCGATGTTGGATGTCATCGAGATCTGCCAAGTAGAGGGCGCGATTATCATGCCGTTTATGGTGCATCTCTTCTCCAAAGATGCCAAATTCATCGCCGGCAAGAGGGATCTGAGCAGTTTCAAGAGGGTTATGTTGGGAGGAGACGTCATTACGGTGGGCGTAATAGAGCAAGCGCGCGCAGTCTTCCCTAATGCAGTCGTTCGAGGTAGCTCTAGTATAAGTGAATGCATTGCTGCCTTAACTTCGAAGAAATATAGAGAAGGTCTTCAACCCACCTTTGGCACTATTGTCAGCGCGGGCTATCCAGCACAAGCTACTTATGCTAGGTTCTGTGACGAAAACCGCAAGGTCGTGGAAAGGGGTGAATTCGGAGAATTGCATCTGGGCGGCCCTTACGTGTTGCGACAGTATTAGAAGAACGTGCAGCCGGAGTTATTCTACGAGGATCAGAAGGGTAACTGGATGTTAACTGGCGATCGTGCATTCATGGACGAGAATGGTTTCATCTTCATCACCGGAAGACTGAAAGACATTATCAAGAAGCGCGGAAGGACGATCTCGCCAGCGATCATCAGTTCGAGGTTGAACAAACAGCCTGGCGTTCTGGTAAGCCACCATATTTGCTGTCAACTGTGATGAGCTAACTAACAGATTTCAGGCCACGGTTTTCGGAGTTCCTCATGAGATTGATGGCGAATCAGTCGTGGCGGTGATTGACAGCGCTGATCCATCGAACACTCCAGAGCGTATCAAGCAAATTGTCCAGGAGTCTCTAGGCAATGACTATGCTCTCGATGAAGTATACAGTCTCGGAGACCTGGGCTTGCGCAGCTTTCCCATTGGACCCACGGGCAAGATCCTCAGGCAGTGTTGGAACTTAAACAGCGGCAAGGGTCAAGTGCGACGCCAATTGTCGAGTGATAGCTAGCTCGGGAACGTCAGAAGCACTGGACCTTGCTGATCCTGGCCCCGGAAGCGACAGACAAGGTGAATGGTGACTTCTAACATCTCTATGTTTCTAGTGCCTGTCACCGAAGCTCTTTGCTGCGTTCGGTCTGTGGAAATTTGCTCAAAGGAGACTCAGAGATGGTCAGAAGTCGATGCCGAGAGAGCAGAGTTCATCATCAAAATCGAGCTTGTATGTGTGTTGTCCACGAACGCATGATGAGTTTCTTTCTAAGTAAAGAGGTAGTCAAATTTCGGCTGAAATCTCGCATTCGGGTTCACTCCAAGACAACACTTCAGACTAAACCGCATTTGCTATCCAGTCTCACAAGATGCGGGGAGCATGGAACGACCGGCATCGGAGATTCCTTCTCTTCCTGGACAGACGTCATCCCCCAGCCATCGAGCATCTCACGATCGCGCCTTGCAGCTTCTCGAAAAGTCCAGGCGGCGTCTGATCCTCTCGTGGTCGTCGGCAGCGGAGGAAAATGCTTCTCCCGTACGCGAGGTAGTATCCGTGCCGTCAAAGCAACCTGCAGGATGCGTGGCTGATCGCCGTCTGACGAGCTGGCGCGTCTGCGTCAAGGATCATTATTACGAGCACTTCTTCCACTTTCTTTATGCTTTCTCCTGTTCATGATGCTCTGCGAATATTAGAGAACCCCGAAGTTTCTTGGATGAGCATGTTTGGACAATACTGCTGATATCACTAATCGCTTGATCAGAAGCAAAGCAGCTAGGTAAGTCGCCCATAGCTTGACTGAGCTTGTCATCAAGGTAGCCGAAGCTTGTAACGCCTATGAGAGTCCAAAGGATAAGCACCGGCAGAGCCTGGCCTCCCAATCTGAAGTGTCTTTGAGGTCGAGACCTGAGCTGCAGCTGTCAGACAGCATAGCAACGACGAACCTCAAGAATGCAGTAGCAGTGCTGACAATAATGGCCTGCAGGCAGCATGAATTGGGCAGCATTTGGAGCTGCGATAGCCCTGCTCGGCTCTACAGACGCCAAGATCTACGAGACTAGATTCAATGGCACCACCTGGGACGATGAAGCTTGGAGAATCACGACTACAAATCTGGACCAAGGCCATTATCAGTCGCGCATGTCCTTGGCCAATGGCTACTTGGGTATCAACTTAGCAGCAGTTGGTCCATTCTTCGATGTTGACGAGCCAGTCAATGGAGACAACATTCAAGGATGGCCTCTCTTCGACCGCAGGCAAACTTTCGCCACCATTGCTGGATTTTGGGATTCTCAGCCAACGACGAATGGAACGAACTTTGAATGGCTCAATCAATATGGCGGCGAAAGTGTAATCTCAGGCGTACCGCATTGGGCTGGTCTCCATGTGAAGGTGGGAGACGACTTGCTGGATGCGACTGTGCCACCTGAGCAGATCTCTAACTTCAGCTCGACTTTGGACGTCAAAAATGGAGTCATGTACTGGAACTATACGTGGACACCCAGCACTGGCTCGGCGATCGATGTCGAGTATTCGATGTTCGTACACAAGCTGCATGTAAACCAAGCCGTTGTGCAACTTCAGCTCACAGCTCAAGAAGATACCAGCGCGACCGTCATAGACCTCTTGCAGGGCGACTGTGCTGTCAGGTCTACGCCTGTAGAGACCGGATCTTATCCTGTGTGGCCTGTCATCTGGTCTGCTGTTAGCCCTAATGGCATTCAAAATGTCACAGCCTGGATTTTCTCTACTCTTGTTGGAGATGACTCGTGTAACGCGTCGAGCAGGAAGAACATTACGGATAGCGCTGTTCTGGGCAGCAACAGTTCCTCGATTGCGCAGTCCGTGGAAGTGTCTGTTTCTGGAAGAACCCCTTCTGTCATCACAAAGTTCGTGGGTGGGGCTTCTAGCGATGCATTCGCTGATGCAGCTTCCACCGCCTTGAACGCATCTTGGGAGGGCGCTGGGGCTGGTTTCGACACTCTCTACAAGTCTCATGTGAAGGAGTGGAACCATGTCTTGACGAAAGACAGTGTGGACGACTTCCGAGATGTCAAGGGGGACCTGCCGGACGACGAAGATGTTCAAGAACTCCAGATCACAGCAATCACGAACCCATTCCAATTGCTGCAGAACACCGTCAGCTCGAATGCTCTTGCGGCTGCAGGAAACAACACCAAGCTTGTGTCCAACAGCATCTCAGTCTGTGGTCTCGGATCGTCTTGCTACGCCGGCCTTGTTTTCTGGGATACTGAAGTATGGATGCAGCCTGGGCTTGTTGTCGCGTTTCCGGACGCTGCCAAGCAGATTGCACAATACCGCGTGGAGAGAGGGCCACAAGCACATCAAAACATTCTGACTGCTTACCAATCTAGCCAGAATGAGACTGGCAAGTTCTCACCTAACGGTGTTGCTTATCCGTGGACAAGCGGGCGATATGGCAATTGTACAGGCACTGGCCCATGTTTCGACTACCAGTACCATCTCAATGGTGACATCGGACTGGAATTTACGAACTACTGGATCACGACCGGCGATACTGATTACTTCAGAAACGAGCTATTCCCCATATATGAAGCCATCGCACAGCTTTACGCGGACTTGGTAACGTTCAACGAGACAACTGGACTGTACGAGCTCTATAACGCAACAGACCCTGACGAGTACGCCAACTTCCAGAATAATGTGGGATTCACGCTGGTTTTGATGCAAAGTCATCTCAACGAGACCAACGCCATTCGTGAGAGATTCGGCATTGAACCTAATGCTACTTGGGCGAACATCTCCGACTTGATCACGATTCCGGTCAATGAAGAGGCCAACATTATTCTCGAGTACTCGACACAGAATGGTAGCATTGTGGTCAAGCAGGCTGATATCGTTCTGATTGATGACTTTCTTCAATGGCCAAACCCGTATACTCTGAGCAACCTGGATTATTATGCTGCTGCTCAGTCGCCAGACGGCCCTGCCATGACATATGGAGTGTTCAGCATCGTTGCGAATCGCGAATCGCCATCTGGCTGTTCGTCGTATACTTACGACCTGTACGGCTCGAAGCCTTATACCAGAGGACCCTGGTTCCAATTCAGCGAACAGCTCATTGACGACTGGACACTGAATGGTGGAACGCATCCTGCGTTTCCCTTCCTGACGGGCGTGGGAGGAGCAAACCGAGTCGCGGTCTTTGGGTACCTTGGACTGCGCCTGATGGTCGATAAGCTCAATATCGATCCTTCGCTACCACCACAGATTCCACAGCTGGCGTACAGGACGATCTACTGGCAAGGCTGGCCAGTGAAAGCATTCTCCAACCAAACTCACACCACATTGACCCGAAGCGGCGAGCCTCTTTCCACCGCCAATGGCACATTTTCGAATACACCTATCCCAGTCACCGTCAGCATATCTGGCACGAAAGTCTACGAACTGCATCCGAACTCCTCAATCACGATTGTAAATCGTCAAATTGGACTCAACAAAACCTGGGCTGGCAACATTGCTCAATGTCAACCCGCCGCATCTGAACAAGACTACGAGCCCGGCCAATTTCCACTCAGCGCAGTCGACGGAGCAGTCAGCACCAAATGGCAACCCTCACTCGCAAACACAACATCCTCACTTACCGTCGAGCTCCCACAGCCTTTCGTCCCAATTACCGAGATCCGCTTCGATTGGGCACAAGCACCGCCTACAGGCTACCGTGTCACTTTCCACAACCTATCTGATACTTCTGAGGTTCCGCCTTTGGAAGTTACGAGCAGTGATAATGTGGAAGTGAGCAATCCTTACGATCCTGCTGTTGAAGATGTCATCAGGAGCTATTCATCGAACACGACGAATGTGACACTTGATCAGCCTGTCTGGAGCGCGAGATATGCGACATTGGAGATTTCGGGGAGTCATGCCAATGATGGAACGGCCAATGAGAAGAACGGGACTGGAGCAAGTGTGGCGGAGTTCGCGGTTATTGCTGCTGCTGTAGATGGAGGGGAAGATAATATTGCGGCAAGGAGTGAGAGGGCTTGGGCACTTTGAGGCTCGTTATGTGCGTGGAGGGAAGTAACAAGCAATTAACCAATCTGTGCACCAATCGATCGATTCTCTTTCCATTGCTTCGAAATGTACCTACGCGAGTATGTAAGAACCAAACGTGTGATTGGGTAAGCTTTCTCGAAGCAAGCAAAGCAAAAGCAGCCCACCAAGAGCAAAACAATCGCTCGCAGCTCGTGCATGCGCGACAACATCACATCAGCGAGACTGCTTCAGGCTCAATGTGTACCAAGTTGCTTCGTGTACAGACCGGCGTCACTAGAAATTGACGACTCACGGTATTTACCACTAGACTATGAACGACTGTTCGAAGAGCGTGATTGGACAGAGCAGTATGTAGCCCAATAGGGTGGACTGAAGCACTGATGTTGACAATTGGCTCAGGTCAATTGTACTTGTAGAGATGATCGATCTGAGCTTAGCAGATGAGAAGAAGGCTCTGCTGGACCAGTAAACAGGTGAGAAAGCGAGAGCATCGAATATTAGCAACAGCTAGTCTACCATTGTAGTACTGGAAGTGTGCGCTTCCCACCACAGCGTAGCTGATTTGCTTGAACACGCCCGAGCTGCGAACGATCTCTGCGTGCTTCATTTACGCGCTCTGATAGTATCCCAGGAGACCCTGACGCTTCTAGTGAGCTAAATCGCCGCTATCCATCCCCGGATACAATCATATCAACATCCTGCTTGCAGAATAAGACCAACAGTAAGCAGCCCGAGCACCACGCCTTTTCCAATACCAAACTTCCGTGGCTCCGCTCCAGAAGAAGTCGAACTCGGCATAGCAGGCTGCGTGCTCGTCTGCGATTCAATAGGTCCATTCAATGCGGGATCAGAGCAGAGCATGCTTGGCGTATATCGTGGATCTTGATTTCGCTGAAGACAATTCGAAAATTTGTTCAACGCTCGCGCCACCGGATCCGGGAAACCAGTCTCGAGCACTACATTGCACCATAAGTAACAGTCTGGCTTGAAATTGAATGTGGCATTGCCGTTGTTGGATTCGGCACAACAGGCAGCCATTCTCTTTGCCCTGTAAGGGGGATGTGAGTACAATTGCCTCGTGAAAGGGTTTATGGTGAGTTGCAACTTGCCCATTCTGGACAATGCAATATGGCGCATCGCTACCGACTACAGGTATACCGCCAGATTTGCATTGGTATGTCGGCGAGTCTGTCAAATTCTGCATTGCAGGCTGAACGCCGCCGAGTGTAGATTGCATAGTGTGATACTGTGGCACAATTTCTCTTTCAAGTAAAACCAGAGGGTGTCACGAGAAGTGTGTAGAACTTGGGTGACAGTGATGAGGGCAGACCAAAAGAGAAACTGTGGAAGTCCACTACCTCATATTGGCGGTGGCCTTGGGTAATATCGAGCTGAAATCGGACTACGGCTATGCTATGCATGCAAAGCTCATCTGTAGGATCGACTACAGAAACAGGCCGCACACTACGGCACGGCCTGTCGAGCGCTTTGCCATTCTCGAGAAATACATTGCAGCAGTGACAGAGCGATGTCTCTGAAAGTGTCGTGGGATTCGGCAGAATCATCCGCTACGCCTCAATTGTGCTTGGCATATGCATGAGAGAGCAGAAGGATGCTCAAGCTTCAACCAAAAGCGGCGTAGAGCTGGAGGCACGAAAGATCGACAACCCAAACTGTGCGAAGTGCTCTTGGCGTTTCCGTGACATGAGACTCTTGCAGGCGGAAAAGTTATTACATTGCAAGCTGCATCTGGAAGATGCTGGCAAAAGCCTTGCCACGATCCAGTGCAACGTTGCCTGCACAAGCATGAAGATGAAGCCTTGTCGTTCGAACAGCAAGCTGTACGACACTTCAGAATGCGTGAATTAGCACAGCCTGTGCCACTGCAAATGACCAATTTGATGCATATTCGAAGCTTGTTGAAACTTTGCTGTCCCCGCACGGAGGCCATAGGCTACGTGCGGCGCTTAGTCGACCGCAGGATGTCTCCTTGCGGCACAGCAGGTCATGGGCAGAAACTTCAGTGACGCAATTTTCTTTCGTATAGATTAATGCACAATTTTTGACGTTCGATTCGTTTCCGAGAATTGCTTGCGCCTGCTTGGGGGGCCGATTGACTGGCACGGAGTAGTTACGTCGAATTCGTTGGCTCCCTTGTCTCGAGTAGGTGTTCGGGCAGATTGAGAAGATAGCCAGTCTGTTGAGGGAGTGGTATGTAGCCCGGGCGCAGTTTTCCTGACCGTGGGCCATTTACAGTAGCGTAATCCAGCCAAGATTATCGATCAGCCTCTGCATCTCGTGATCGATGCCAGCGTCGGACGCAAATCCTTCGTCGCTGCTGCCATCGTCTTCTGGAGAGTCTAATTTAAAAGACCCATCTCCGAAATCGGGTTCTCCATCAATGTCTCCCATCTCACTCATTCTCTCGTCCGAGTTCCACAGGTCGAGGACAGTCATTTCCGGCGGCTCCCGACTCCGAGCAGACCATCTCACGTTGGCCGAATCATTCGTTGGACCTCTAGTTTCGTGACAATCGCCTCCCACCATCCTTTTGAGAGTATGATTGTGTGTATAAGCATCTCCGATCAATGTGTATTTTCTCTCGCCGGCGGCTCTGACGACGAAAGGATATGGTGCGCCGCTGATGAGGCAGATTTTGTCTCCTTGTTCGGTCTCCTGCGGCACCCAACCTATGTCTACGTCTCCATTATCACTGGTGAAACGACACAGTAGTCGATATCGATCCAGCTCCTGCAAGGGACGCATGTTTGGGTCCAGTTGTCTTGACTCTATGTAGAGTATCAAGAATAACAAGTCTCGTGACAACATCTCCGTTTCGTTCACATTCCCGATACCGGGCCATGACTGAGCTAGAGACTGCTGTAACGACACGTAGTCTGGGCTCGATAGCGCCTCCCTTGCGGCAGAGTCTGTTAAGTCAATTTTCCTATCGTATAGTCGACAAAAGAGTAGGTCATGGAAGTCGGCAACCGCATCGAACGTGCGAGAGCTCGACCCTTGCCTTGCGAATGCGAGACATCGACCATACCAAGACACGATCATGGGCACGGCTTGTGTGCCGAAATTGCGTGGCTCTGTATCGCTTGTACTGGGCCAGTAGGACTCTGGAAGAATATGGTCCACTTTACCACATATTCGGCCGCGGACCTCCAGAATGGAGCCACTGTGATCACCAAGTCTCCATTCGAATTTTTCATAGGCAGCGCGGAATTGTGTGAGATGTTTGCGAGTGTCTCTTGTATAGAGGAGTGCTTTCGATGTCGTCTGTTCAGTCAAGCGGTGAAGATCGGGCACCCAGCTTGGGTCGTGTCCGACGTTGGCAGCTCTTTCTTCAGTTCCGACGAATGCTAATGGAGCCCAGGGCATGAACTCCCAGTCGAGAATATCGTGCTCGTAGTCCTCAAAGTCATCGCCTTTCCCGACAGTAGAACGCAGACGGCGTGTTCTGGCGACAACGTACTTGATATCCATGAAGACACAGACCAGTCGGCGAAAAACCTCTGCAGGCGCCAAAGTATAGTCTGGCTGAAGGCTGGGGTGGTCGATCTCCATGCAACTTCGAAGTGCAAACACTCGGTCTCGGGCATCCGAACAGTTCCTGTCCAGGAAAGTGCAGTATGCTAGCCAGAAGGTCTGTAAAACGAAGCTCTCGTAGCTGTGCTGGCTCAGTCTAAGCGCGCACGCATAGAGTTCTTGTGTACGTCTTGTTGAGACTCCCAGTAAAGGGCGCTTCTCCTCGGACCTGGCCACTGCCCGGAAGACCTCCGTGAGCCAAGAAAAGTCTTGGAAGTACATTCGATGAGGTCCGCAACACACGATGGTTCTCTCGGACCTGCCATCTACGTCCACCACGAGCTGAACTTCTTGCAGTACCCATAAGCGTGTGAACCAGGATCGAGTGGTGATCTCCGCAGCATTAAGCAACGCCTGTACGGCGATAGAACGATGTTCGAGGGTGAAACACGTAGAACAGCAAGAGCAGCGAGCATTTTCTTGGAGCTTGTCGTTGAGTAATTTGACCGCCGTGTCGAGACCTTCTGAAGTTGTTGTGTCCAGTGTTTTGAAGCGGGGGTTGTCCGAATGGATGTTGCCAGCCGCAAATGCTAGCGTGTCGGCTTCACAAGCGGTTCCAAGCCAGATCAATGTCCTGCTAGCTTGCTGATAGATTTGTGCCATCATAGCAACTTGCACGCCTTTCTCAAGGTCATCAGCTTGACTAATGCACAAGGCATCTGCCCATAGTCTGCGAATGCTGTCAGTTCGTCGAAAGTGCCGTAGAGCATTATACAGTGATGTTGTTAAGCGCAGTGTCACGTCAGAGCCACCAATACATATCTCGTGCGGGAAGACTGGTTCTCCCCATACGTATGAGATAGCCTCATAGCCTTCGTGTGCTCGGTGGCCACTTTTCGCAACCAGTGTTGGGTTCAAGGATATCACATCGAATGAAGCACGCAATGGTGAGTCCCATGGTCCGGGGTCGAGACAAAGCACGCGTATATGATGCGGAGGAAGAGCTTGGTATGGCTCATAGCTGTGTGAGAGAATGGAAGCCGACTGTGAAGTACTATCGACGCGTTGGCGCTTCTTGCGGTGCTGGACTGGAGCGTCATACTCGCTTTGCATTCTACGTTTGGCAGATTGAATTCCGAGGTCCGAAAGAACGTCGATGTTTTGGTATGTTGAAGAGTTGATGCAAGAAGCAGCGCGTGGAGATTGCCAACAGTGCACCCTGCTTACATAATCTCATAGGACGCGTTCCGCTCCCGCTCCATTCTTTCCCTTCTCTTGCCTCTGCTTCCTCCTTCAAACGAATTCGAGCAGCTCAACAAGATGTACCGCGAGGTGCCGTGCAATGCAATCTTGCAATCGCCATGGTCTTGATTTTGGAGTTCCCAGAGACATCACCAAGAAGAACCGAGGCTGGCGTCCCCATGGTGACTCCAGACGCGTCTCCGGGCCACCGCGCCGAAGCGCGTCGTGAAGGATAAGTAAATTGCGACCACTTCACCCAGGTTTGATGTTCTTCTGTCTCTTGTTCCTATCCTCATATTCTTGATCGTATTTACAAATCTGACAGCATCGAAATCATGAATCCTGCAGCAAAGAGGCAGAGGACAGACGACGCAGATGGCGTTGGCACGAATCCGCACGCGTCCGCACAGCACCAGCAAGTTCCTTACGGTAGCAGTGGCATACCCGGACAGACATATCAGACATATGTTCCCCGATATAGCGACGCTCCCATTGCTGGCGGGCCATATACGGTGGCCAATACTTACTACCACCCACCGCATCAGTACGCTCCCATTTATATGCCTCCACCACGGCCCAGCCAAATGTATTATCCAAACCCGATCCCAGACGGCATCACGGTACCCCGCATTGAGGAACTGGTCAGTGCAATAGATTGGACAGTTTGGAGCAGATCCTTCTGCAGCTCGCGCAACAGGACACTAGTGGTCTTGTGCAGTCCACACTGGTCAATCATTACGTTCAGCAAGCGTTCGAAGAACAGTCAGAAATCATCGACTTTGATCACTTGAGTAAAAGGGCATGGCATGCCATCAACTCCCAGTATGCTGGAATGAGCGGAAGCAAGCAATACGATAGGTCGTGGGATGTGACACGCGATGTCGTGGAATGCATCGAAAGCATCCGAGGGCAGGTCAAAGAGTTCAGTTCTTTTGACACTAAGGTAAATGCTCTGGAAACACTAAGAAAGATCGCGAAGACGATTTTGCTGTCAGGCGACGTTATCGGGCACGAAGTCAGGCAGCACTTCCAGTGTGAAAGTGCCTTCAGTGAAGCCGTCGCAGAGATCCTTGACAGCATGTCCGAAGATGAATGCGTGGCTGCTGGTCAAAACGTGTCAGAAGTTGGGAAAGGTACGCTTCTGGAGAAGCTGGAATGGGTTTGTGCAGAGGCAGAGGACCACTGCCTGGAAGACCTTGATGTGAGCGAAGCTTGTGCACGGCTTCGATACGATGATCCTGACGAAGTCACGGATGAGGAGTATGAGAAAGAGGATGAGGGCGGAGGGGACGACCAAGATGAAGAAGAAGACGAAGACGAGAATCAGGAAGACTATGAAAGAGAGATGAAGGATCCACCGGAGGAGACGATGGACGAAGCAACGCATCAGACGAGGACGAGGAACCGGCTCACCCCTCTCAATTCGCAGCTTGCGCTCATAAAGTCGAACATATATTGTACTCCAAATACTCCCACTTGAACGACAGGCAACAGCATGAAAAGTCTTTCGACGCCGCTGGGGAGATTGGAGTGCAGATTGCGCTGATACGTGAGCTTGCAGAAGCTACAGATTACGGCTATGCCAAGGAAATGGCACTGGACGCTCTTGTCAATATTGGCAACTTGATCCTTATGGCAGAAGGGAGCGTTGTGGCCAAGGAGATCAGAGCGCAGTTATCACACGTTCAAATCATACCGGAGCTAATTCTTTCCATTGTGAGATCGATCTCAGAAAGCGACCGCAAGGCGATAGGCAAAGAAGGACGCCTCACAGAAGATCTCACCAGACTGATTGCAGTGGCAAAGGGTCGTGCCGTCACCGTGTATGATTGCCTAGGCCAGGCCATTGAGATGCTATCCTGAGCGTGATAGCTTGAAGAAAAAGCAGCGAATCTGGTTGTAAGCGCACTTTATTGCAATCGGCAAATGCATGCAGACCTTCGAAATTACAACTGTCAGACTGGATCTCCTTCGTCAGCAACACCGAGGCCCAGAAAAAGCTGAAACCAACCGGTCCTAGTGCGCGATATATGCATATCTCGCACTTCTCACCGATGTCCGGAAGAACTTTGAACGCGCACGAGCGGCACATGAACTCCAAGCGTTTCTCGATCCACGAACCAACCCGCGAACTGTGCGATTCCGCCATTCTTAGCACTGCAATCGTGCGTGTCGAGTCTTTTGCAAGATTGCAAGATCCGTCTTGGTCCGGTTGTTGGCCATGGCCGACCTCGGTGTGTTCGGAGGATCTCCGACTTCACCTCCTTCCCAGCACACGTCACAAGCCAGCCTGTAAATATATATGGCAGCGGACGCCTGGGGTTTGCGGATTCAACCAAGACGCTCACTCTATCTCTTAATTATATTGTGTTCCAGTTCGTCGGATTCTTGACCATTCTGTTCCATTTACCGCCAAGATGCCTCTCCTTGCGAAACGCTTCTCTATCACGAACTTCTTCATTGCGACCACGGCACTGGGCTTCCAAGTCTTCGTACTCTATCCATGGCACAACAAACTCGATGACGACTTTACGGAGCTGAAGCGGGAGAATGTCAGGCTGTTGCAGAGCGTCGAGCAGAGATTAGCTCAAATGAAAGAGAAGCCAGCGGCAACCTGAGCCGGTCAGCAGGAGAGGGGAAAAACACAGAACATTAGAAGAAGAACCAGTATGTCAACAGCATACCCCATGTACTTGGGTTCAGCACAGCTCACATGCACAAGTACAGCTAGATTCGCAGCGATATACCATCTCCGGAACAACAGACCGAAGAGCTGCATTATGCCAGGCGTTGGGTCAATTTGCGCATCGGAAAGTTGGCTCATATATCCATCAACAAGCAGAAGTGTGCAGCGTAATCGCACGTTGGACGTGCAGGTGCCGGAACAGAAGAGCAGCACTACCCGAACGACACAACGGTGAATGGGTACAACATTTCTCGAGTCGATCTAGCGGTGAAGTGAATGAAGAAGAACAAAGCAGTGATGCTCTCCTGCGAACATTGGTGAACGACTCAATTGCGGCCCTATCATCTTGCTTGAAGAATATGTATTGTTCACCAATCTCTGCACCTTCTCTCCTTCAACTTTAGAAACGCATCGCCAGCACTGACTACGGCATACACAAAATTTCACAGCACTCTCGACTGCTGTAACAAGTCTTAGCAGCATCCTCATCCACTGTAACAAGTGTCAACAATCCAATCCTCTACGAAAGCATGGCAGACACTGCGGCAAATGAGAACGAAACCCGGCGTGTCGACATTACTGCAGATGGCGACCTCATTCTAGTCATCGCCGACAGCTTCGAGTTGCGCGTGCACTCATTCATACTCAAGACCAACTCGCCAGTATTCAATGTTATGCTAGGACCACATTGGCTCGAGGGCCAATCGCTCGCCAATATTAGCAGCACGACACCGGGAACACTCAAGCTCCCTGACGACGACTCGGAGGCAATGAAGTATCTCTGCTTGATGCTGCACAACCGCCACGACGAGCTTATGATACCTCCGAGCCACACGCTGTTGCTGGAAATTGCGAAAGCCGCTGATAAGTACCGTTGCATTTCGAGCACGCGCCTGATTTTCGAGTTGTGGATCTCACGACTTGCGAACCTCAAATACTATGAAATCGAGTACAGCCACCTCGCTACTGCATACATCCTCGAAGACGCCGCAGTATTCGAGGACCTTTCTCGACAAGTGCTCATGAAAGCCAGTCCCCATGAATTCCGCACATTCTGCAAGAGCGCAAATGGCGGCGATGATTTCGGCATCGTCGCTGCATTCATGCTTCGCTACGCTCTTCTTCGCAACATCGTGGTCGGAGGCGTCGACCGTATGGTCGAAGAAATGTGCAAGCTCCTCGGACCAGACATGAAACACTACGTCGATAACATCCCAGGCATCACAGACGAAGACGCAAAGCAATTCGTCCGCCGCCGTCGCGGAGGGCTACCAAAATTCTGCGACTACTACCAAAAAATGACAGGTGAACACCTCGCTCTGTTCGCCGAAGCTCGCATTTGGCCGAACTGTCGTGCTGAGGGCCTTGAAAGCCTTATTCAAAAGCTGAAGCACTTCAAGTTGCCTGAGATTCATTTCGATGATGGGCAATGCATGAGAGAGGATTTCTGGGAGGACAATTGGTTCATTTCCGATCTGCCACCTGCTTTGGCTGCTCTGAAAGCTATTGCGGATCACGTGGACACTGCGCTTTGTGTTCACTGCGTGAGATCGGCCGATGGGGCTGGTTGCGCGGAACATCAGGGTCTGCGTGTCATTCCGAGTCTCAGCAAGCAGACGCTCATGACGGTCCATCTTGAGCAGGTGAGGTTTGAGTATGGAGATTTGTGAACCATCGGAAAAGCGATTGCTGTCACGATCAAAATGCAGCCTGGGTGATAAGCAGCCGCAATTTGCAAGACTGATAGCCGCGCAGATGGCTGCAGTCGCTGGTCAAGGTGCAGAGATGAGCAGTGCGAAGAATTGAGTACCTTGAGTGGAGGTCGAGGCATGCCCACACTGTCAGAGGCACGAACGCAAGCTGATAGATATTGTAGACGTAAAGCTGTGCAGACGTAACTTGATTCACTTCGCTTCCCACGAGACATTTCAAAACTACCCGATCGTGCCGATCTTGCCGTTTATTTATTGTTGTGTAGCAAAGCCGATGCATGATGTGTGCCTGCTTTGCTTCGCTTCAGACAGCTGCTACTTCCAAGTCAGCCCAGAAAGAGCGACTTCCAAGAGCAGTCTCGCCATATGGTGTTAGGTAGCTGCTGGTACGTTCACGTCCTCCTGTTCCTGGTCTCTCACTCACATTGGGCAGTCTCCGCAGCGTTCACGACAGATCTAGGCACCTCCATGAGGGGGGCACTTTCTGGGGGCATACAACATGCAAGAAGCAGCGGTCAGAGCAGGAGACTTGTCAACCGCAAAAGAGTACTCTGGGATGTGCAGAAGCCCCGAAAATATTCTTCAAGAACAATCTCTGGCCTGATCTGGTCACCAGTAAAAGGTCCCAAATTTCAGACTCCCGAAACCGTCGCACTCTATACGCTCGAAGCAGAGTCAGAGCGGCATGGAGCAAAGCACTGCAACACTCAATTGGAATGAAGATACGTAGGATCTTTACCAACGAGTTCAAGGGCAGCCGCTTGACGTTTCCAGCTCGTCCAAGTAAGCCATTCACTTTCGACGCGTGTTCCAATCTGCGCCTGCGCGGCTCTGGGCCTCAAAAGCTCTTCGCCTTTCGATCTTTCGCCGAGCACTTGCAACGCAACCAGGGAGCTCTCACTGACACTGAACTCGAGCACGGAACAACAACTTCTCCTCTTCCAGGGATTCAAGGTCGAAAACAGCAGCTGCACACCTCGTGATGCCTCCAGTTGATCTCCCAAAGGTGGAAATTGCCACTGACGGCGACCTCATCATAACTGTCAACAGTCAAATTGAGTTGCTGGTGCAATCACAATTCCTCACGACGCTCTCGCCTGCCTTCCGAGCTATGCTTGGATCAGAATGGCTTCGAGGACAGTCACTCCTCTTCATTAGCGCCGCAATACCAGGGAGACTAAACCTTCCAGACGATGAAGCTGAGGCCATGAAACTGCTTTTCCTTGTTTTGCACAATCAGAACGATCGACTGCCTTTTCTTCCTACGCCGAAGAACTTTCTCGACCTTGCGAAAGCTGCCCAGAAGGTAGGTGTCGACGACAAGCACAATATGGCCATGGACGGAACGGTATTCACGATTAATAAAGTACGAATGTATCCCGGCCACCAGGACCGCGCTTACCTTGTGCTGCACGCGAGTACCCAGGACTGGCACCGAATACGAGCACCTTGCGGCCACATACATCTTAGATGAGCCACTTCGCTTCGAACTATTCTCCAGGAACATTGTTCTCCGCCGGGATAGCATCTATATTCGGCAGATGTGCAAGAAAGTGATTGACTCAGGCGACGAATTTGGTCTTGGTGGTGAGCAAAGTTCCTCCTGCATCAGGAGCCACCAGTTACTGATTTCAGCAGCCATCCTTCTTTCGCGCCATCAAGTGGCTCACAAGCTCATTGCGGGTGGAATCTCCTACATGGTCGAGGAGATGGTCAAGGTCTGTTTCGTCCTGGAGAAGAGCATGCGAACTTAGTACTGATACCCAAATAGCTGACAGGCAGCCACCATGACTACCCAATTGTCGATAACTTCCAACTTGCCGACCAAGATCCCCCACCGGGACCCTGCCGCTACTACCAAGATGCCGTCAGCTATCACTTGAGACTCCTCACAGATATTCGACTGTGGCCAGAAGGCTGTCGCACAGAGAGTCTCACCACAGTTCGCCGTCGGCTCAAAGTGCGGAAAGCAGCACCAAACCCACTGCCAGGCTATCACGGAGGACGTTTGTGCTGTGAAGTGCATCATGACAACTGGTTCGAGCGCCACTACGAGCCAGGCATGAAAGCTCTGCATAAGATGGGGCAGGATTTGAATATCAAGATGTGTTTGGACTGCTTGAAGTCGCCTAGCGGTCTGTACAACGGATGGTGTAGAATTGGATTGAATCATAGGCGCAAGATCATTCCGGATCCGCCTGCGAGTGCGACTTCGGAGATCAGAGACTACCTGGCGCAGATGAGGCAGGAATTGGGAGATATTTAGTGGTGGTATTGTCAGCCTGGGTGATTGTTGTTCGATTGAGGAGTATGGCAGATAATACGAGAACAGATAATTACGCCAGCATTCTGAAGTAGAGCTGGCAATGAGAGACTTCGAGAGTGAACGAGACAATACGCACGAGCTGCCTTAGCGCGTTTGTTTACCCCAGCCACCAGCCATTTCCTTCACATAAATACATCACAACAACAACACTTTTCTCTGTTCACCGGTATCTGACCACGCTCGACTTTTCCACCATGGCGCACAGCGATCGCGCAGCTAAACGACAGAAGAAGATGCCGGAACTACAGATAGACACGACGACGCAGCAGAGTCCTGGCCTCATCGTCGACATTTGTATCAACGGCGACGCGGTGCTTGTCGTTCAAGGCATTGCAGGAATACCGCAGTCGTAAGTCTGATGCGACTCAGATTCATACTGCCCACTAACAACTGCAGTGTCGGCATCCGAGTCTCGTCCAACGCGCTCACCATCGCGAGCCCGGTCTTCCGCCGCCTTCTCGCACCTCCTGGCGGCCTCGCGCCACCAACGCCTGCACCGGGAAACGAAGAACTTCCGCAGCCACGAGAAGTCCACCTGGAGAACGAAGATGGCGACGCGCTCTTCCTGCTCCTCAACGTCCTCCACCTGCGAAACGATGCTCTCCCAACGCGACTCCAGCCGGATATGCTCGTCCGCTTCGTCGCCACCTGCGCCCGCTTCGAATGCCTCATTGCCGCCGGCCGCGCAGCCTCTCAATGGCTCGACTACATCTACACCAAACTCCAAAAATCCACCCGAACCTCGCGCAACAGCCTCTCCTCCGCTTTCCCACCACCAACACCCTCCGGCACCGCCCCACCAACAACTCCCTTCTCCGCCAGTCCGGCTCCCAACGACACCCAATCCCTCTTCCAGCTCATCGAAGCCAGTCTAATCCTCAACGACGCCCTCTTCTTCACCCGCTTCACAACCCACTTCATCCTCACCCAACCCATCCTCACCGACCCCAAAACCCAAACAACCTCTCCAACCCAACGCCCACTCTTCCACGCCCTCAAACGCCGCCAACGAGAAGCCATCCAAGACCTCCGAATCGACTTCGACCTCCTCATCGATCCCCTCGCGGAAACAATGTCCGAAGACGCAAAACACTACGTCGACTTAGCTCCCGGCGAAAGACCCGACTTCAACCAGCTCGGTAACCCCGGGTACGTCTCACAGGATATTTGCACGATCGATAATGAGAATGGAACGGATCTTCTCTCTGCTCTCCGAGACGCAAATCTCTGGCCTGGAATTCGTTGGCCTCTCCTCATGAATTCTACCGATCCAACTCCATCCGCGCGCTCGCAGACAGGAAGCGTCGTAGCCGCAGTGGAGAGATTCCGAGTCCCGGACGCGGATACAAGAGACTCGTGTTTTTGGTGTATGCACGTGGAAGATAAATTCGCGACGGCGTTGGGTTTGGTGAGAATGATGCATAAGGATCGGATGTGGGGGTTGTGCTTGGACTGCTATCGCGCTGAGGGAGGTGTGAATGATTCTGGGAATTGCAGAGTGGAACATTACAAGGCGGTGGTCAAGGAAGGTGCTGCGAGGTTGCAGGTTTTGGGTGCTGCTGGACCGCAAGCCACTGCTGTTGGTAGGACGATGAGCCAAGGAGCGCCGTTGGCTTCGAATATGGCCACTGGTCCTGCTGGCGATGGCGGTGGTGCGATGCAGAGTCAAGGAGGACCGCCGGCTTCGAATGTGGCAATGCAGGGCGGTGGTGTTGGTGGTGCGGCGCCGGTACAAGGTGGGCCTTCGTCTACGAACATGGTGATGCTGGGCGGTGGATTTGGTACAAATGGGCAAAATGGAGGCCAAGCTGCAGGAGCAGGAGCTGGAAGCATGAATACCACGAGTGGCTGATCAGCGATTGCGTGATTGACTCTGCCAAAAGTCAGAATGGTGTAATACTACAGACTGTTCATACCATATCCAATGTTCTGTCTCTCACAACATCCTCCACACTGGCGGCTCCCTTATTCTTCCAAAAACACAGCTCCTCTCCACATCACCGAACTCGATACTCTGTCCTCGCCCACACCAGAAACTCCTCCTAAGTATTCTGGTCAAATTTCTTACCCGTGAGGAACTGCTGCAAACGCAGCCAATTCGGGTCCTCAGACGACCGTCGAGCATGTGCCAAGCGCACATGCTTCAGCAGCGCGAGATGGGGTCGCAGAGTTTCACGAAAGTATACCGTGTACATGCATGGAAAAGAGGGGATAATCGGAAGAGTCCACGTTTGCAAGGGGCAACGAAGGGGTTGGCGCGGCGTCGTTCGTACTCCATCAGCAATTGTCGCGCGGTACGGGGCGGGAGGAGGCCTCTAGTCCCTCTCATCTTCCATCTCAACATCATTCTCGCCTGCTGCCGTGCCAGTCTGGTTGTCCGTAGGAGCTCCCGGAAGAGGAGAAGATGCTGGAAGCATATCGTCGTCTCTGTCTTCCTCCTCATCTCGTTCCCCTTCGAGATCACTAAGCTCGCTCTCGTCATCTGCATCGTCTGCGTTCTCATGGATGCTTGCCGGAGCACTGTTTTCCACCGAGAAGCCTCCAGGTAGACTGGATCTCCGTTCTTGGTCGATGACATCCACGACACCCTTCGGTTGAGCAGACGCATTTGTTCCAGCTTTGTCCTTGTTGGAAGTTGAGCCGCCCTTGAAGGCGCAGGCTTCGGCGTTCGTTCTGATTTCACGTCTTCCAACGCCAATCTTGCGGCGGACTGGTGCGAGATCTGGTTCAGCAATTGCAGGAGCAGGCACGGGAACGGGCGCAGGTACTGCTGGGGCGGCTGGGGCGGCATCAGAAGCGCCATCCACATTCATGAGATGCGTGAGGCTCATCATCGGATTGCGAGGCGGGCTGGTCACTGCCGCGGGAGCGGGAGCAGGAGCAGGCTCTGGTGGCTTGCTTGCTTCTGCCTCCCTCTTCTGTCTCTCTTCTTGCTCCCACAGCTGCTTGCCTACAGTGCTGAAAAGATGCGCATACGAGTCTCCAATGAGATCATCGATGGCGCTTGGTTTCATCAAGCCTTGATTGATCTTCTTCAGCTCTTGTACTTCACGAAGCACGTCAAGGGCCGGTGACTCGCCACTCGGCGTGTTCTGCATCCACACTTCTAGAGGATCTTTCCTGGCCACGAAGTCTTCGTATGCTATGTTGCTGAAGCACGCAGTCTCGAGTCCTTCTGATAAGCCACCGTATGAGCGTAGGAGATAAAGCCAGGCAGCACAAATGTCCTGCCAGACAAGGCTTTGCTCAAAGAGATCATTTTGTCTTCTCCGAACTCTCTTTGCCAGAGTCTCCAATGTGACACGGTCTTTGAGCTGTTTCAAGATCTTCACCATGAAGCGGGTGTAGCGGGAAGTGTAGACAAAGTGGCGTCCAGCCCTTTCGTTTTCTGGTCGCCAAACTTGCAACACCATCGTCTTTGTGAACATTTGCTGAGTCAAGACGTTGTTGGCAGCTCGAGCGCAGGCATCAAGCTGCTCCGTGGTGGGCTCTGCGGAGGGTCTGCTCTGCTCGTAGGCAATATGAGCAGTTCTTGCAATCATGCGGTGATACCAATTCGATTTGTCTGCTTTACTCAGAGCTTTGAGCACTGCTAGGACGTGCTCTGTCCACTTGTCCATGGACTCTGGGAATCCCTCTTTGCGCGCATAGTGAGAGTGGTCCAGTGCCTGTTTCATGCTGGCCGGATCAAGAGTGCCCTTGCGCCAGAGCTTGTCGACAATGACTAAGAGCTTGTAATGAGGCTCCAAAGTAGGCTCGCGCTTTGAGTCTTTACTTTCTTTCCGGTCCTTGTCAGGCAGGAGTTCCAGTGCCTTTACGAAAGCATCGACAACTTGTGGACCTGTAGGCGGCTGATCATGTCCTCTTAACTCATCAGACGCATTGTGCATCTTCCACAGACACTTACCCACCATGTAGTGAAGCTGCCACTGATCAGATCGACCCCGCAGAGCTTTCTTGAACATGGTGTTGGCCAATTTCCATACAGTGTATAGCCGCATAGGTTTGAGCGAGGTTGACCTGTGCACGCCTTTGTGATCACTGACGAAAATGTTCTCCTCCTCAACTTCAAAAGGCTTCATAGAAAATGGCTCCCGAGACGATGCATACAGCCTCAAGGCGAAATCGCCGTACAACTCTGCCATCTTGCTGGATGTTTCGAACTTGAGGTCAGCAGAACGATGGGCAAGTGCCGTGGCCATCGTGAAGCAGTGAATGACATATTTCTGCAGTGTGATGATGTCCTGCATGCTGTTGTTGAGCTTCTCAGCCGACCATACAACACTTTCTTCGATTTTGGTATCGTATGCTTGCCCAAGGCGGAACCAAGTCTCCCAATGATTCATTGTGAACTCCAAATCTTGCATGAAGAACGCGATGGCAATATCGACATCCTCTGTTGGGGTTGGCCCAGTACGCTTTTGAGCGCGGAACTTGGTGAGTGACATGTGTCCCATCAAGAAGAACCAGCCTTTCGATGCCAACACTGCATCGCCCTCAGGCACGGGATGCACAGCAAGGTGGTTGCCTTCGCCCTTCACGCAGGAGTATAGCTCCAGGGGTTGAATGTTCGACTTGAGGAACTCCTTGATTGTCTCTCTGTTGCGCAGAATGGCCTCGGATGGCCTCCTCCTTGCGAGGGCACCATGTACCTTTTCGATAGTGTCCTTCAAAGTATGTTTTACAAGCTCCTTCATGGGAAGCTTGCTCGCCTGAGCCAGCAACAGATCCACGGCTTGCAAGGCCACGCCTCGGTCGAGGAATGCATCATGCGTGCAGTTGTGTTCAATGAGATCCTGGTCTGGATCGGTGAAGCAGTTCAGGCCATATAAATCGTACAGTACCTGCGCTTGCTCGGTGTCGTAGCCGTCCACGTGTGTCATAGAGAAGAACTCATCCTTCAGCATGCGAACAAAAGCTCGATTCAAGCAGGAGCATATGCCACGGATACCCAAATTGCGATGGACCACACGTAAAAACTCGAAGCGGTCCTCCGTTGGCATCAGAAAGATATTCTTGTTCTCCGATATTGCCTCCTGGAAAACGGCGTAGAGTATGATCCACACCCGAACTTGCGTCTCGTGACTCCAAGTCATGACAGCGCGGAAAGACTGCACCGACGGTGCCTCGATCCGGCCAACGCTCACCGCATCATTCACAACGTTGAACACTTGTAGAAGCTGCAGTAGTTCTCCGAAGTTCCGCACCGCGAATCTGATGTAATCGTCATCCATGCAGCCCATGCAGCCCATGCCGTCCTGCTTGCCATGTATCAGCTCGAACAGAAGCTTGACCCATTCCGAAATCAGACGAAGGCTCTTGAGTTCAGTCACCAGACGCTCTGCTGGCTCGAGATTTGCATTTTCAGACGACTTCATCTCTTCCAGAACTATCCCGATCATGCGCAGATAACAGCAGACGACCTTTGGTTTATAGTCGATCTTGATGTAGGCATCACGCAGACGCTGCCAGAGCATCAGCCGGACAGATACCGGACTCGTTTCCAGAAATCGTACGAACTCGGGTTGGACATTTGGTGGCAAGGCTGGAGTTGGTTGCTCATTGCTGGCATTATCTGTGTGTTTGACGGTATCGAGACTCTCGAGCAACGGCTCCAGGCTCACTATCACAGACGCAGGATCAGAGACATCTTGGTTTGTGACCTTGACGAAAAAGTCTTTCATCGTCAGCTTGGAAAGCTCGCGTTCCAGCGCGTCGAGTGAGACCTCAGGCATGATCGCGTTGTTGGGAAGGTGGATACCGGGCATGTCGGCGTCAACGAGGATTCTTTTCAAATCGTGCATGCACCCGATGGTGTGTTCCTGCGTTACATCCTCGGAAGCGCCGATGGCGAAGGTAGTGGCCCATAGGAATCTGATGTTCAAACTATCTTTGAGGTCAGGCAAATCAGTCTGCTGTCGTGCAAGCATAATGTCTCTCGCCAGTTGCGACCATCGTTGGAGTCGGTCGCCTTGGGCCACGATCGTGTCTTCTGCTACACCGCTATTCGCCTGCTTGATAAGAGAGTACACATCCAGATGAAGCTCGAAGATAGATTGTATGATCTCCGATAAGTCATGCACGGCAGCTTGGACCTTGCCGTTGAGTTGCGGAGTTTGCCATTGAGCAACTTCGGCAGCTGCCTGCTTGTAAACCGTCTCATCAAAGTTAACGATGACACGGACCACCACTGTCTTCAACGTCTCGGGCCACTGGTACTTGACGTAGCTGCTTTCTGTGACCGTGAGCTTGCCGGGACGAAGTAGCGCGTCAATGAACTTCCAGGCAACATCCGTTGTGAGCGACCATCCTTCGTTGACGGTGTCGATTAAGTCCTGAAGTCCGTCATTTGACAAAGGATCGAGTTTTGTCAGTACCTTGGATGACCCTATACTGCCGAACATGTTGCTCGTGGTGAGGAGATTTTGGCTTTGACTGATGTCGAGATTCTCGCCTCCAAATAACACGAGGTGAGCCATTGATTCTTTCCAGTGACCAAGTAAGCCTTGAATGTCCCTTCGCGCGTGGCGCAAAGCCGAAGAGGCCGCAAAGCCTTGACCTGCGGGCGAAACATCGCCGGAGTCTGTGGTCTGCATTTCCTGCCGCACATGACGCGCAGCATCAAAGCCCACAATCCCAATGCGCTCGAGAAGGCCACTTACAGTCCCGAACATCCAGTCATCGGCCGCCTGAAACTCATTCAATGCCTGCTCGTGCTCCCAGCGTGTGTTTGCATCTGCTTGGCGCTCAGCGGCAGCGTCCACAATGGAATCCCGCGCACGAAGACGCTTGCTTTTGGTCCGCCCCTCTTCCGTATCGTGTAAGCCTGCCACATCTCCTGATCGCTTACGCGAAGGGAGAGTCATAGTCGACAGCTCAGTCTCGACCTCGACTGGTGAAGGACCGGCAATAGTCATGCTGGCGTCTGCAGAGGCTATCTGAGGCTGCACAGTGGGCCGACCGTTGTCTAGGCCAGGAAACTGCTGAGTCAGATTCATCGGATACATCGTTATCTTGGGTATTCTGACCCGAGAAATAATAACTTGTGGACTGCCAGGCTTCTCTAGGTCGCGCGGAGCTGGTAATGGTGGCAAAGTGCCAGCTTTGTCGAAGCATATGGCGAGGCAGGGAGGGCGTGTTGCGATCCCATGTTGGTCTGACATTTGTTGCTGCAGAATTGTATCGCCAAGCTCTGCCCATGTCCTCGGAGCCGGCAAAATGTGCCTTCCTGTGTCCTCAGTCCCAGGCTGTTGATTGCTCTGTTGACGCAGTTCTCGTGCACGGTTTATGATCGCGTTGTACGGATGTAGTCTCGCCTTTATTTTATCGGACAGGAGTCGGCGCACATTCATGGAAGGAGGGGTCTGCAGGGTAGACAGATGATCTTGCAGCTGCGCGACCAGTTCTCTCAGCTGTTCTGCTGCAAATCCCTCGTGAAGACCAGGCAGCGAGCGCACACTATCAAGCCCATCTTCGTCGCCGTCGAGCACAGCTTCCAAACAGAAACGTGTTATTCGGTTACTGTTAAGAACTTCTCCTACAGAGGCTGTTCGTCGCCACAAGTCAGGATCAGTTTCATCCTTGTCCAGCGAGCTCACGAAGTGCTCCAGAGAATCTGTAGCCTCTGTGAGGATTTGATTGAGTGTCACGGCGAATGCGTCGAGTCTGTCGGACAGCTGGTCCAGCTTGAACTGTGCGTAATTCTTGTGCGACAGGTGGAGGATTTGCGGCAAAGTGCTCGGTCCAGTGTCGAAGTTATTGTTTGCTGTGCTTCGTCCGGGTGCAGGTCCATCAAGAGGAGGCACGTAATCTGGCGCTGGGCCATACAGTTGAATGCGCTCGAGCTCCGTCTGCGATTCCGGATACTTGAAGATCTCCGATTTGAACAGTTCCTCATACGCTGCGGCAGCCTGATCATACGACTGTGGTCCATCTGCATGAAACTTCAAGGCGGTTTGGTAGAGCTTGAGTGCCTCTTCGATTTGGATTTCCTTGGTATCGTCAACCTCGACGTCCGACTCGTCATCATATTCGATGTTCAGCGCCCTGAAGCCCGACATCGCTGGGGAGCACAGTTCATGTATGAGAATATCTCGACTCTGTTATATTAGTTTTGGCCGATGTTTAGCAAAGAGTGTTGAGTGAAGATGGATGAGAAGGTCGTCGCAATTGCCAGACGCGTGAAACTGTGAACGGACGCGCCTGGCAGGCAGGGGCCGAGGACTCCGATTGGCTGCGCAGCTGAGTCCGCTCCCAAGATGGGTCAGCTATGTTGGAGATTCGTGGTGTCTTGCTGCCGCAAAGGTTCACATCCAATTGATACACACCACCGATCGATCTCGCTGCCCCACCTCACCCGTCATACGACCACGCCACGTTATCGAGGACCTGATTGCGACCCGGAAGCGAAGCCTTGCAGGCAAAGAGGAGGCACAATGGTGGCTACAGCAGTGCCAGAGTGAGTGCATCCGTCCTCCGGAGCGCAAGCGGTCAACAGAGCTTCGCCAGCTAAGCACGAGACAGACTGTTCGAAGATGAGAGCCACTCCGTTGTCGATGTACGAACCGAGAGCCTACAAGCACTGCGTGAACTTGGGCCACCTGATCTGGTGCATTTGACTAAAGCACCAGCCAACAGCAAATCCGTCTCCAAGCAGGTATGCGACGCAACGAGAGGACCATGCGGCGGCGAGCTGGGAGCTTGCTGAGCAGAGCATGAGATTGGATGCCCATATACTGACTGGTTACACAAGGTCGGAGTCTACCATCATGTCACGGGCATCGATGCGTCCTCGTCAGCGAGCTTGGCAGCATACATCAACACTCTCACATACGCACCCAGCAACACCACGAACAAGGTGATCTCAGGCACCTACTGCTGCTACAATGCCTTTTCACGGGTCGACATGCGCGTGCAGGTACAGATCCCCGGCACTGTCGAGAGCTACTGTGTAGATGAGCGGGGGAACAAGCTGGAGGCTACAGAAGAGCATTGGCTGGAGACATATCTATGCAGTGTACTGCGGGCATATTCATACGCAGACACCGGGTCAGGCGACGTGATCAAGCGCATCATTGGTGTCAGGCGGTTCAATCCTGTGCAGAATACCGAGCAAGAGCAGAGATTCTTAGATGCGGCCGAGAAGCTGTTTTTCAGTGGTCGGTATTTCATTCTGCGCATGAAGTACACAAAAACTGATCTATCGCAGGCTGGCAACTTGGTTCCGATCCCGAAATACAAGTTCCCAACCTTGTCTCGAATCACCTGACATCCGGACTATTGCACTACTTCAAAACCACTGGCCGCTTCGCGTCTGGAATCAATCTGTTCGAGAAGCTACGCATTCGCGATCCCGAGATCTCTTCTCTTCTGGCAAAGGTCTATCTGGCCGCAGACGAGGAAGTCAAGGCTGTTCAGCTTCTGCACGAAGCTGTTCAAGAACTGCCCATGGACTATTCGATACTCGACACACAAGCAGAATTCTGCAATCGCAAAGGTCGCGCAGACCTCGCACTGGAACTGGCCAAGCGCGAAGTTGTTTCAGCTCCGAGTGAATTCTGCACATGGGCACGACTGGCGGAAATCTATGTCACTATGGAGAAATGGGATCTGGCGCTTTTAACATTGAACTCATGCCCCATGTTCACTTATCAGGATAAAGACGCGCCGCGACTACCCGAGCCAGCTCGTATATCATTGCCACTCTCACCCGACACTATATGCGACGAGATCGATGATGCAGGCGCGACACCCGATTCCGATGTAGTGCACCCAACGCTTAGGAGGCTGTCGGCGGGCAACTACAAAGGCACTTTCCTCAAAGCTTATATGCTCCTCACAGAGATCACAAAGAGAATTGGCTGGGACCAATTACTTAAAATTCGCAGCCAGGTGTTTGTGATGGAAGAAGAGTACAGGCAAGAACGATCAGTACCCAGCGCTAGCCGCAGTGCTAGCACAACGGCACTTCGAGGCACAGATACGCCGCAACCGAATGGGCATTCTCAACAGGATGACGCCCGCTCCGATGCCGATACCGATGACATGATCAATGGCAACGATGAGCCTCAAGCAGCTTCCTCCCATCTTGACCCAGACGTCTCCAAACCTTCGACTTCGATCACCGTCCGCTCCGGTGCAGAGACCCCGCAAGCGCAGCCGCCGAACACGGATCCGGCGCACCAGCAATATACACAATTCCAGCACAAGCGCCTGTGTGAGCGGTGGCTAGACAATCTGTTCATGGTGCTATACGAAGACCTGCGCATCTACACCATCTGGCGGACCGAGGCATCGCAATACAAGCAAAAACAGCTGCCCTACAATACAAAGAGCGCCGAAGAATGGGAGATCTTAGGTGATCTTGCGGAACGTCTACACCATCCTGAAGAGGCGATCGAGGCTTGGCAAGCATGCCTCAGTATGCGCTTCAGTCCTAAAGCCATGCGTGGTGTACTAAAACTGTACGAACAGCAAGGAGATGGCAGGGGAATGCTGGGCGCTCTTCTGCGGCTGATCGCCTGGCAGTACAGGTGGTATTCAGAGGTGAGTCGGGTCATCTTGTGTATAAGAAAGTGCTTTGCTGACCTTTACCAGTTCTCACCTGACCTGCTTTACACGATTCGCAAACTGATCGAAGATGAGGGAGCGGTCAAGGTACGGAGTATTGTGCAAGCCACAAGCCTGCCACAACCCATTCTGGATTTGACACACACCTACGCCGCTCTCTGCGCGGCCTTCAGGAGTACTGGCAGTGAAGGATAGCATCATCGCCCAGAACTTCCTCGTGTAACCAAAAGTTCCAGCCAGCAACGCCCCGTGGTGATGGATCTGGTAGATTGCGCCGCGCGCTCTGCCGGGCAGGCCAGATGGCCAGTGACCGCCGTAAGCACTGGAGAGACACGCGTGCATTTCTCGGTCTGAGTCGAGATCATGCTGCATGCAGATATGCACGTCCGCGGTCACGATTGAAGCATTGGAGGCGGAGCCAGTAGGCATGAGATACCGGACAACGAAAAGCATCAGATACCAGTATATCACGATATGTCCGCAGGGCTCGTATTGCACAATGTGTTGCGTTGTAGCCGACTCGGGCCTATCATTACCTTAGCGCTTGCTTTTCTCCGCATACAGGAAGGTCTCGATCGATTGCGTGCGTTCAGAGGCACTCGGACTGAAGCCAGCGGATCCCTGCCTCTGAATGCCAAGCCGTCGCTCTCCACGCCGCTGCCAACTTTCTGTGCTGGCCGACACTCCCACCGCCTACAAGAACGCAGAGTCAATAATGCCAACGAATCTCGCCGCCGCCGCCTTTTCAGCCTCATCGCTGTCCTTCGTGCGACGTCACAGGCAGTCCTTCTTGTTCGATGCACTCCGAACATGGATACGAGGTTGCTCCATCCAAAGACCAGCTTCCTGTGCCTTGATATGTGCCGGATCATCAGAATTCGGCATACGAGATCATGACGTGCAGTCTCTCATCTCTTTGGTATAGAAGCTGCAAAATCCCTCATCTTCACAAACTCGCATTCTTCTTTCGTCCCCAATTTTCTCAAGTCAGACGTCACCATGACCGAGAACGCCACCCTCTTCCAAGGCTTTGAGTGGAATGTTCCGGCAGACGGCAAGCACTATCAACGCCTTCTGAAAGCGCTCCCAAGCCTCAAGAATGCCGGCATTGAAAACGTATGGCTCCCACCGGGCTGCAAAGCCTCTTCCAAGGACGGGAACGGATACGACATCTACGACCTTTACGATCTAGGCGAGTTCGACCAAAAAGGTGAAGTTCGGACCAAATGGGGCACCAAGGATGACCTGCTCGAATTGAGTGGCAAGGCGAAAGAATTGGGTGTCGGACTCTACTGGGACGCAGTTCTGAATCACAAAGCTGGCGCAGACAAGCAAGAGAAGGTACAAGCCAAGGAAGTGGCAGAGGACGATCGCAACAAAGAGATCAGCGATTCGTATCAGATATCCGCATGGCTTGGCTTTGAATTTCCTGGTCGAGGAGATAAGTATTCGAAGCAGAAGTATCATTGGCATCATTTCTCCGGAACGGACTGGAACCAAGCGAACGAGAAGAAAGCCATCTATAAATTGGAAGGACGAAACAAGGACTGGAGTGAGAGCGTAGACGATGAAGATGGGAATGCGGACTACATGATGTTTGCGGATGTCGATTACGATCACCCAGAAGTTCAAGAGGATGTTAAGAATTGGGGTCGCTGGATTGTCAATGAACTTGGGCTGAAAGGTTTCCGTCTCGATGCTGTGCAGCACTTCAGTCAGAGGTTTACGAATGAGTGGGTTGAACATGTGCGTTCTTCTCAGCCCAGCGAAGATGGCAATCGCGAAGACGAGAAGAGCAACGGCGACATCTTCATGGTCGGCGAATTTTGGAGTGCAGATACCGAGAATATGCTTCAATGGCTCTCGAAGATGGATCACGAATTCTCCCTCTTCGATTCTCCATTGGTGTACAACTTCTCCCGCATTGGAACAACACCTGATGCAGATCTCCGGACCGTGTTCGATAACACTCTCACACGAGCGGCGCCTTGCAATTCCGTCACTGTCGTCACGAACCACGATACGCAGCCGGGACAGACGATGGCCACGCCAATGGAAGGCTGGTTCAAATCCCTTGCGTACGCGATGATCTTGTTGCAGGAGAAGGGCTACCCGTGCGTATTCTACGGAGACGTGTATGGCATGAAAGCTGGAGAAGGTGAAGATGGCGTTGAGTCTGAAGAGCCTGCGGCGGGAGGCAAGATACCGGATATGGTACTTTGCAGGAAGTTGTTTGCGTATGGTGAGCAGGCGGATTACATGAATGAAGCAAATTGTATAGGGTGGTACAGGAAGGGCGATGAACAGCACAAGGATGGCATGGCGGTTGTCATGAGTAATCAAGGTCCTGGTTCAATCAAGATGGAGGTGGGCAAGGACAAAGCGGGCCACGTCTGGACAGATGTGCTTGGGTGGGAAGAGGGTGAAGTTGTGATTGACGAAGAAGGCTTCGGGGAGTTTCGATGTTCTGGTGTGAGCGTCAGTGTCTGGGTTAACAAGGACGCGAAGGGGAGAGAGAAATTTCCTGTGCAATTTGATGTGGACATCTACAATCTGGGCGAGACGAATGGAAACGCTCAAGGAGAAGGGAGTGATGCGAGTGTTGAGAGCACTTGATCGTGGCTTTAGAAACGTTTGAGAATTTGTTACATCTAGAACATAGAGCATCCGGCAATGAATTCGAATCGAACACAGCCGTAGGTTTGGTCCTGCAAAGCGGCGGAACATTGCCCCAATGCATTGCACGAGGACAATTGTACTCGCCTCAACATAGTGAGACATGCTGCGGATACTTTGAGAGCATCCATATGCATGAATGAGAACATGCGTGTCTCACTGATGACTCCTCTGCAATGCAGAAAGCCGCTCGACCGCATAGCAAAGGCAAGACTGTCCTCAAGTATGATCGAAACGATATATACTTGTTCTACAGCTCGTTTTCATCGACCCTCAATCTACTTCCGATCCACGTACGATACTCAGACCAACCTCAGCATGAATTCAAACATCAATCAGCAAGCAAAGTGGTCTACCAATCGGCCCAGATCTCCACGACTTAATCATCCGCAACATGGCTCCAATCGAACCATACCTTCGAAACCCGGAAGTGTGCCTTCATCCAAGCCTTCATACGACCACATGCAAGCCTGGCAACACCTACCCAAAGAAACACAAAATGCTCTCCCAAAAAGCTACTGGCAAGTGGCTTCAATGAAGAGTCTGAACATTTCATCGACTGCAACGAACGACAGCCAAACAGAGGATCATCCCGGCGTATTTTCATCACTCATCCAAGCGATCGATGAGGAATTGAAAGAATGGCAGACTACAACAACGAACGTCCAGAGCACCAACAGCTCGCCATTTCGTCATTCTCCTCAGCAACCCCACGAACAGAGCCCGCACGATTCAGCGATCGACTTGAACGACTTCGCTTGGGCTTCGACTCCAAAATCAGCTTCTGGTGAAGATGGACCACGAAGAGCTTTGAGAATGCTTGAAGGACGAGATGAAGAAGATAGTCCTACGGTGCCTCCTCTCTTTTCCAATGTTCCGCGAACGAACTCGTTCAACGATAATGATGACAGCTCATTCCATGTGACGAGATCGAATGTCTATCGAGCAGCAGGTTGGGAGAGGGGCTCAATCGATACAGTTTCACTCCAGGAGCAGAAGCCCCTTCTGATTGCTGAAACTTCGAAGAAGGGAAAGGGCATGAATGCCTCAACTGGCAACGAGACGACTTGTGTGGGGGCGACTGATGAGCGAACAGCAGCCGAGAATGGCAATCCAGGGTCTGTTCGAAGAGCAATCAGAAAGCTGAGACGAGTCAGTAAATTCGGCGCTGTGTAATGCGGTTGTGGTATGTATGCAGAAGCATGGTGTGGAAGAAGTAAAGCGAAAGTCTGTAGAATATGGGTATGTGTAGAAAACCAACACAACTCCGCAGTGGAATTGGTGATTCTTTGTTCATTACGAAAGGGGGAAGCGCAGCTATTGACCGTCTCTCGCGACGATCAGCACATCTGCCTGATAGTAGACAGAATATCGATTACAGCTTGTCGCGATCCCATAGAAGGCCTCCCATTCATGCATCGTGATTACTCATTCGGAACGTGCTCTCGGCCTAGATTCCATTCGCTGGGGCATAAGCCAGAGTGTTGCGAGGGTCCTGCGCAGCAGGCACGTGGTCTTCCTCATCGCTCGAAGCTCTCTCGCCCTTCTCGATGATCGGTGGAGGCTTTGGAATGTCCTTGCGGAAAATGTGGCGCTTGATGAAGTATGGAAGCCAGACTTTGAGTTCGTAGGACAGGAACTCCTTGGTGGGGACGGAGAAGACCTGGTCGATTTCCTCGAGGGTGAGTTGCTTCGTTTCGCGGAGGAATGCGAAGATCATGAACCAGGCTATCAGATTCAGACCGGCGTAAAAGCCGAAAGCACCAGTCTGAGTCATGACAGTCTGCATGCGAGGGAAGGTGAGGGAGAGGATACCAGCTAGAGACGAAGGTGTCAGAAGCATGATGCAGAACGAGAGTCGTTTGTTTGTCTCTTACCGAATGTGTTGTTGATGCAGACAGCCCAGGCCATACCTTGCTCACGCTGGATGGTCGGGAAGACTTCAGCACTATGAAAACTGTCAGCGTGTGTTTTGCTTCGAGCGGAGCGCATGTCTCCACTCTGATTTGGATTGCAACGTACGAGTACTGGAAGGCCACTGGGCCTTCACCGAGAGAGTATGCGATAGTAAAGAGGTAGATGAAGAGGACGACAGGGCCGATTCGCTGACCCCGAGGTGCGTCATCCGGTACAAGCAGTGAGAGACCGCCAGCAAGGAGGAAAATGCACATGAAGGGGAATGTCGCCAATGTCAGAGTTCGTCGACCCTTGGTATCGATGAGGAAGAGCGTCGGAATCGTGAAGACGACTTGAACAGCGCCATAGCCGAGCGACGCGTAGAGCGCTTGAGTAGCCGTGTAGCCCACTTGCTCGAAGATACTGGAGCTGTAGAAGGAGATGACTGTGTCTAGGTTAGTTTTGTTCCGTAAAAGTATGTCTCGAATAACTCACTGTTGATTCCGCACATCTGCTGAGCAATCATGACAGTTGAGGCACCATAGTTCGCTCTCCTAATCCGCGGGATCGTAAAGCAGTCCCAAAGACGAGTGAAGTAGTTCGATCCGGCAGCAAGTGCTTGCTCCTCCTCGTAGATGACATACGAGTAGTAGAAATCTCTCGCAGCGATGATCGGATGAGCCCGCAATTTCCTCATGGAAGTGAAAGCCTCGGACATTCGGTTGTTCTTCATAAGCCATCTGGGTGACTCTGGGCAGAAGTAGATACCAACTCCGAGAATGAAAGATGGGATGAAAGCAGAACCGAGTTGCAGTCTCCAAGCAATATCGCCAGTGTCCTTGACTATGACGTTGGCGCAGAAACCCAGAAAGATACCAATCACGACCCAGAGTTGCCTGGAGATCAAGTCAGTCTCCCGATCAAGCTGAGAGATGAGTAACAACGTACCAGAACATAACTAGAGCTCCTCTAATTCTCGCCGGAGCCATCTCTGCGGAGTAGATGGGTACAGTGGCGTTCTTTGCACCAATACCAATGCCCATGACGAAGCGTACAGCGAAGAGCGCTTGCCACGACTGGGTAAAGCCGCTGGCGATCGGCGTTGCGGTCAAACACAAGGCAGTGATAAAGATCTCACCACGACGGCCGAAGTACTTGTTGAGAGGATCCACGATGAAAGCGCCACTGTGAAGCCGTCAGTAGTGCGGATAGCGAGATTGTGGTCTGTACGTACATGAGACCAGCAGTTAGGAAAATGACAGAGTTGATCGCACCAACGATCCATTCGTCTCGACCTGAGCCGTCGATACCAAACTCTGTGGGAAACGAAAGGTTCGCGCCGTTGCTACCTAGACGTGATGGATTAGTCGCTGTCCCATGCAGTGGATGAACAGCCACACACGAGGCCATGGGCTGCGGTCTGAAAAGACACACACAGCCATGGCGTCGGTGGTATATTGCTGTTGTGGTTGTGGGGGGAGGGATGGTCGGTCCTTCATCCTCACATCGCTCCTTGCTCGCGTTACTCACCTGTCTGATCCCAACCTTGTGTTGCTATCAAAGTAATCAGTCTTCCGTCCTTCTCTAATATCCCAGCGACCACTCTTACCTGCTCCAATGGCACACAGTGCAATCGAATACCAGAGCATCGTAGGCCCATGCCACTTGTGCCCCTCCTCATACTCCAGAGCGGCCAGCTCCTCTGCCGACAGTCCATCGACCTGGCGGTATCGAGTTGGATCGCGTGCCACCAAAGCAGCTCGGCCAAACAAGTCGGCATGTTCTGTCATGCCATGGCCCTCGGCGAAGACTCGAGCGTTCTCGACGACCTTCTGAGGAGATTCGCGCTGTACAGATCAAGAGTGTTAGTAGTCTGTTCGAGTGTTCTTGTCGAGTCTTGTTTGCGCCGCGGCGCTCTGGGCGCCATCTTTAACTCACCTTGAGTGGATTCTCGACGACATTGACTGCAACAGACCCACGGCGACCGCCTTGATCAGTCTCGTATTTGGTCGCCTCCTCGTAGATAGGCGGGTTCTTCTCGTTGTGCTCCCCGCCGGGTGCGGCTTCTGCGAATGTCTTCTCCGCCATGTTGTTGACCAAGCCGTGACCGCGTGCGACAAGAAAAGTCAAGAAAGCACAAGAGAGTGGCACGAAACAAGGTTTCTATGGGCCGACTAAAGCTCTTATACGCCACGATCAGCTCTGGGCGCACAGTGCTTAAGTGGTACAAGGGTGAATGACTGGGGTGTTGGGGTGTCCCGCACTCCGCCAAGTGAAATGTGGAGCCTTAAGTGCGGAGGGTCTTCAGCCGAATTCACCACTCACCACACGAAGGAATGCTTCTGGGTGAATCCAGCCAATTGTCATGCTCCAAATCAGCCATTGAGGACGCACAAGCCCACGAGTTGCGTCTCCTAGGCGATGATCATGATGATTCCATTTCTCAGCAGCTCCTCGAGCTGAGCACGAGATGTTTGCGACGAGCAAAAGTTCGATCCGTCCTCAGGCTCGCGTGGACTGCCGAAGCTGGGATTCGGAGTTAGCGTGCTGTCGTCGCCACCAGGGGGACCACGCGATGCCGCATGGGTTGATTTGGTTGTCAGATGTTGGTGCGGGAGACTCAAAACAGGATGCCGATCAGGCGGTACGCCCACCTCGTCTTCGGCTGAACCGTGCCGCATGCAACTTCGCGATGGCAAGCTGGTGCGGCAAGCTGCACGATTCGCACGATTTTTATGAAGCGCTGAGAAGTGCGGTGGGTCAGTTCATGCAACGGGACCGAGAAGGGATCATCATCAGTCTCTCAGACATCACGAGGTGAGCACGCAGAGCAGCGTGGCAGCTCCCTTGCGCTGTGCAGACTTGGCTGTGATCGTCGCAAATGGCTTCATTGATTGTTGGAGCCTGCGCATTACAACTTTGTCTGCTTGCTATGCCTGTACTCATAGTGCTGTAACAAATTAGCATGTATCCGGGTCGTTGGTAAAGCTCCGATAACATACCCAGTCTGACCTTGCAAGATCGGCTATGATTAGGAAAGTGTCAGGTTAGCCCTATGTCGACTACGCAGTCCAGCGTTCCTTGTTGGAAGCTCACCTCGTACTTGGTAGTTCTCCTCTGCATCTTCGAGAATCTGCATATCGACGTCGACGACAGCCATGCCTTCGGCACAGCTACCGAGCCGTGTGAGGGCGCCGGCATACGGGACACAGACCTGTGACAGGCCAGCATAGCCCTTGCCCGGAGGACCTCCGGCGTTGGCGAAGACGATCGCTGTTGGGCGTCAGTTTGACTCCATTTCTGAAACACAGTCCTTGAGACCACGCATGCATAATTTCAGCTTTTGTGCAGGAAGCAAGAAATTAAAATATGCCAAACGCATGTCTCAGCAGGATCAGGCAAAGCACTCCAGTCTGTTGGTACTTCGTGGCAGCTCACTTACCGCAGGTGTTTTCGAAACAACGGGCTGTCAGCATTGAGTCTAGAAAGAGGCCTTCGGACACAGGATTAATGGCCAGTCCGGCTTTTGAGCAGTCGCTTAAGGTCCAGAAGGTCGGAATGATGAATAGTTTCGCACCCTTTGCGATCATCTCTCGGAAAGCTTCTGGGAACGCCAAATCCCAGCAGATCAACATCCCAACCTTGCCCAGTGGTGTGTCGAATACGGGATGGTCATCCATGGAACTGCTCGTGAGATGCAGTCGTTCAATGTCACCCCAGAGATTCTTCTTCACATAACGACCCGCGATGTCGCCGGTGTTTGTGATGAAGTAAGCAACATTCAATAGTCGTTCTTCTTTCGTACCCGCGCCATGCAACTCGACGATTGTGCCTGGGACTATATTGATGTTGCATTCTTTGGCCAGAGAAATGTATCCGTCAAGGTACCGCTGCCAGTGAGAGCAGGCTTCTTTAAACTTCTCATCGTTTGGGATCCAATTGAGCAAGTGATATTCTGGCAATACCTGTAGGCGGTCGGTGAGGTCAGCACTCTACTGGCACGATAGAAGGTACTCGTGCTTAGGCAGGTCGCTGTCGCGCAAGGTGCCCTAGGTAAAGACCAAGAGCAAAGTGACCGCGAAAATCCAGGAGCGTTTTTCTGGTAACTGCTTTCCTCACTTACAGCAAGTGTCGCATTCTGTTTCGCAGCAGCACGAATGAAGTCACAAGCCACTTTGAAGTTGCGCTCCATAGCCATTGGCTGATAAGATGCTCAGCTTATGTTGCCTGCCAGGTGGGCAGAATTGAAGAGATGCGAACCTTAGGCCACATCTGAATCACAGCAACGCGATGGACTGGTGCCATGATTTCGGGATAAGAAGAATTGTGCAGTGTTATGGCGAGAGAGATGGAAAGGAAGTCGATTGTGGTGGAGGACCACCGAGGACTTGCGGAGGAGCTACGGGAGTGGATGCAATGGGACTGCGGTGATAAGATAATGATGCCGCCGCTGCTACAGCACAGACGTGAAGTCCGACGCAATTGTATAGTAATCGACCTGAGTGTCGGAATAGAAACGCCGATGTTGAAGTCCTGTTTGAGTCGTTGCTTCTGTTTCCAACTCCGCTCACGTGCCAAGACTCAGCGGAAAACCTGCCGTTCCTGATTTTCGTGGGGCAGTCGCGAAATTGTGTGCCAGCGACGCCGTGACAATCTCCGCCGACACCACCACTGCAATCATGAGCGTACGACAAGCACCGTCCTACCAGCAGGGCGCGCCGACACGGCAGGTGGACGACGACTCCGACGTCGAAGAGGAGGCGCTCGCCAACGACTTCCGCGAGCAGGCGGGCTATGGCGGCGATGATGGATATGGCTTGGAGCAGGTGGACTCATACGGAGGAGGTGGACAAGATCTGCAAGCGCAGCTGCAGGCGGCGGCGACGCCGCTCGAATATGGCGCGTCCACGGAGTTGAAGATTCAGAGCTATGACAGCTACTGCAATCTGTTCCACTTCATTTTGAACAGCGAAGGGCCAGTCGACATCGAGGTGCCATCGGTAAGGATATCTGCAATACAAATTGCATGAAGAATGGGACACTGATGAAATCGCAGTACTTCTGGGCATGGGACGTGATCGACGAGTTCATCTACCAGTTCAACTCATTCTGCTCTTTCCGTCAGCGCGTGGCTTTCCAACAGAACAACGAGGAGGAAATCGCAATCCTGCGCGAAAATCCGAACACCTGGGGCTGCTATTCGGTCTTGAACGTCCTCTATTCCCTTATCCAGCGATCACAGATTAGCGAGCAGTTGGCCGCACGAAAGCGAGGCGAGGATGCTTCACTATACGCCGGCGAATACGGCAACAGGCCACTCTACCAGATGCTGGGATACTTCTCCATTATTGGATTGCTGCGAGTGCACTGCTTGCTCGGTGACTTCAGCCTGGCACTCAAGACTCTGGACGACATTGAACTCAACAAGAAGGCCATGTTCGCCCGTGTCATGGCAGCCAACTTCACCACCTACTACTACATCGGTTTCTCATACATGATGATGCACCGATACGCAGACGCTCTCCGCGCCTTCAACCACATCCTCATCTACGTCTCAAGGACGAAGAACTTCCAGAAGGGTGCTCAATACGACAGCATCAGCAAGAAGAACGATCAGATGTACGCACTGGTCGCCATCTGTGTCGCTTTCCACCCAACGAGACTCGATGACACCATTCACACCGCTCTTCGCGAGAAGTATGGCGAGCAGCTCACTCGCATGCAGCGCGGAGGTCCAGAAGCTCTCCCTATCTTTGAAGAGCTCTTCCGCAGCGCTTGCCCTAAGTTCATCTCGCCCACACCTCCTGACTTTGACAACCCGCAAATCAACGTCGACCCCGTCGAGCACCACTTGGCGATCTTCATGGAAGAGGTCAAGAACAACATCTACACGCCTACCGTTCGCAGCTACTTGAAGCTCTACACCACCATGGATCTCACGAAACTTGCTGGTTTCCTCGAAGTCGACGCCGATACCCTCCGCAGCTGGCTCCTGGTCAACAAGCAGCGCAGCCGACAAGTCCGACACACCGGAGACGGCGGACTCCTCGAAGGTGACATCGTGAACACCAGCGACCTCGACTACGCCATGGAAGGCGACATCATCCACGTCAGCGAAGCCAAGGTCGGCCGGAGGCTAGTAGATTGGTACCTTAGGAACTTGGCGCGGACGTACTAGAAGCAAAGATGGGGCAAGATGACTGCGACATGCTGCAAAAGTACGCGGCGTTTATGGTGTATGAGCTGGACGGCAGCCATGGGGTACAAGGTATGAGGTATGCATAGCAAGGCGTACCGGCATGAATGAGACGCAGCGGCTCGGCCACTCGCAGGGCTATCCTCTGCATAGGTCAAATGAATCACAAAAGAAAATTTGATACCACATTGTGCATTTCCTCCTTCATGCTATCGTTTCAATTCTCGCAATCTAATCTTCTGGCCCAGGTTTGCATGTCCACTACAACTCCATGCGGCCCGAGCGCCAATATGTACCACTCCGCTTAGTCGACATCAACACATCGCTGATACTCATTCAACACATACGACAAGATGATTGCCAACCTCTATCGTACCATGGCTTTCGAACACATTCTCCAGCGCTTCATCGACGACACCCACCAGAGATCATGGCCGCGACCCTCCTCAACAATCTTCTCATTCCACCTTTCGCCAACCCACTCCTAAAACCGACGTGATTCGTAATTCTCGTTGTTTGCACTGCAGCAGCAGTAGCAGCAATTTCCGCATCCTGTCTCATAAGCCATTCCTCTTCAAAATTTCGCATTCTTGCAGTACTCTCATCAATGTAGCGCGTTGAAGTCGCTGTGGCGATGTGAACGCGAGTGTATGCATCTGCGCTTGCGTGATTGCTGTTGTCGTTTCGGGTTCCAGAAAGGTCCCGATCAATGTAGCTTTGCTTTTCGAGGCTCTGATACTCCGTTGTTGTGGAGGAAGCGGTAGAGCGATTCATGTTTTGCATGTGTGTGAGATGTCTCACTCGTGTCTTGTGGTTTGGTTGTGTAGCTCGGGGCTTGTGGTTTCTGCTTTGCTGCCTAGTTTGTCTTGTTCTTTTTGTGTGTCTGAGCGAGAGTAAGATTTGACGCCAGCGTCAATAAGTCAATCAATTTGAGAGTGCGAGAGTCGCTGTCTTTGCTGCTGTTTGAGAATAGGAAGGAGAAAGGAGAGGGAGAGAGACTGGGCTTTGGCCTAGAGCAGAGCGCTGGATTGGCTGTGAATGGGTCGCTCTAATTCAGGACTGCGGAGCTCTTCACTGTCTTTTGCGCGCTTTCCTGCATTATGCTTTGTACTGGCTGCGCTGCGCGCTGTGGCGTCTGCTTGGGCTTGGTCTCAATTGAGCACTGCTGGCGCGGCAGGAGTTCTGCAGGATTTGGTAGCAGCCTTATACTGTGACTAGGCGTGGCCATCTTTGTGCTTGCCTTGATGGTTCCCTAGCCCATTCAGAGTTCGTCTGCCTTGACCGCGAGTTGGAAGCTGACATAGCTTCAGAAGATGTGGCGGGGACGAGTTGGTCTGCAGAAGCTTTGGAATGCTCTGGAGCTTGTGCTAGAGGACTGCTCGCGTTCCATGATCTTGATTTGCGTCCTAAGTTGTGGTCCGCTCACTCTCCAGCCTCGAAGGTCCTCCGTCTCTCGATCTCTGCTCTGAGTTCGTCCGAGTCCAAAGGCACGCGGCGGCCGCTCCATCTCTGCTTTTCTGCAAGCGCAAACCCTTCGATACTTCTCAGCGCAACAACGAGAAAGCCAAGCTCCTCGCGATCCACATCAAAGATCTCCCACCATTCAACTTCTGGAAGCTTCACATTAGTTTCGCGGGCGGCCAAGTAGATCGCTGCTGTTGCGAGGGCAGACGGCTGATGCGTAAGGTAAAGCAGCTGTGGACTCAGCAGTGCACTATTCAGGTGCTTGAAGGCGACTCTGGCCACTTTTTTGCCTGCTCCTGACTGGAAGACGTCCATCGTCTGCAGGTAGTTGATGCACAACGTATGTGGCAGCGCCACATGAGTCTGAAAGCCAAGGATTCGGAGCATGTTTGCTTCAATCTCATAGAGGAATTGCCTCTCAGCTTCGTACAGCCCTTCGATGTAGTTGCACGACTCTGCGCGCCGCCTTTGCTCCTCTGCAGAGGCTATCTGATCAGGGCTTAGTTTTGACAGATACTGAAAAGTCAAGAGCACCTGTCGCGCGCTGACAGGATGGGCTGATGGTTTGGCAGTGAGGTAAAGGGCTGCGGCTCCAACGAGCTATGTCACGTCAGTTCGCTAGCGAACGGTGGGCGATCAAACAGCTGCAAAACATACCTTCGAGTCGTAGAGAAGCATGCTGCCGCCATCGGGGCCTGTCCAATATCTCTGCAGTATGACGAGACTCTGGGCAATGATCTCCTGTGGTAGGTGGAGGAGAATTCCCGCGGCTTGGACATGCCGCGCAGTCTCGTACCGGATTGAATCCTCGAGATCTCGCGGGAGGCCATCTAGTTGACTAGCCGACGTTTCGAGTTGAAGAGATGTGGCTAAAGTGTTCAACAAATGCGACAGCTCCCCGATCGAAGGCATTGGCGCCATATTGTGCTGATCGCAGAGCGGTCTCTCGATGAGTGGTCACCAGAATAGATGCGTGCACAACTTGCCAACACTAGTCGTTCACGTACTGCTCATAGCGTCGAACGGTATAGGAAAGGTGATTTTTCCGACTCAGTCCGATGGTACTGTAGGCGCGCGTGGTCGACAAGAGTCGTCAGCGACTCAACAGTGAGCGCTCGTGCAAATGCCTGAGCGTGGTCCGAGAAGCAGCTTGCCCAGAGCGGTTCCCGATAGAAAGTAGGCGCTCGAAATAGGACGCGTGGTGTCGGAGGAGTCTGATTCGCGGAGAAGGGTGTTTGAGAACGACGGGCGCTTCCTCGTGTCGCTTGGATGCCAAGACGTCCCACCCGCGCGCCGATCTCTCGCGCCTGCCCAGCTCATCCTCACCTCACCTTCGTCTCATGCATCACGACAACTGAAACCTAGCACGTTTCGACCTTTGACCCGACCGCGCAGCGCACTCGTCTGTCGAGATGAGCAAGGACTTTTTCTGCACGCGCTGGCCACCGCACCGCTGGAAGCAGACGGCCATGCTGCCACCAGACTCGCCAGCCCTGCATTCGGAATCACCAAGTACGACGCACTGCTTGTTTTGGAATCGAAGATGGCGTTGAATCCACCCGAGACCGTCTGCCCCGGCCTGTGTCGACTGTTTAGCACATTGCGCGCCAAGCGCGAGACGTGCGAGGTAGGTGTGTATAAGAGCGTCGGCCCTCTGCTGTGCCACTCCTCTTCATCATCCCAGCATTGTGCGTTGTTTGCATCGTTTCTCTCGCTTTCACAGTCTTTAGCATCCCCCTCAGGTCTTGACGACCACTCCACACTCGTTTTGGGTCTGGTACCCATAACCTTGTTTGAGTCTTTCCAGCACTCTTTCACAAAAGTTACTCAGCATGAAGTTCTCCCCAGCATTCATCGCTGCGGCCAGCATCATCGGCTTGAGCGATGCTGCGCCAAAGCTTCACGACCGCCAAGCCGATCCGTCTACGTGCGCCTGCTATGGTGGTGGGGCACCATCGGGCTATGGGCCTACAGTGACCCATACCCAGACACTTACCTCGACTGCAACTATTACCGAGACACAGACGCACACAGCTGTTCCAGAGTCCGACACTGAAGTCTCGCCGACCGAGGGAAGCAATGACAAGCCACCTGCCTACGGAGCTCCGGGCACCACTTCCGCCGCTCAGCAATACAGCTACAGCATTGTCACCGTGACTATCACGAACGGCTATGGTCAGCCATCTGTGTCCCAGTCTACCGCCTCTGTGCCAATCGAGGAATCGAGTTTGACCTCTGGCGCACCTGAAGCCCCTCCTGGGTATGGTGCGTCGAGCGGCGTTGTCATCAAGCCCGTCACCAGCGCTCCTGCATTCACAACCGGCACCGCAATTCTGTCAGGTGGCTCTAGCGCGCCAGCTTCCACCGATTCCTCTCCAAGCCCACCTACAGATGGTGGTGACGAGCCGGCCCCACCTGGATACACTACCAGCGTCACGAACATCGAGACCACCTATGCAACCACGTGCCTTGCCAGCAGTGTCTACACGACGGACGGCACTACGATTACCACGACTTATGACTCTTCGACTACTTCCACTGTCACTTCAACCATTAGATCTACCGTTACTGTGCCAGCTCCCGGCAGCACAGAAGTTTCCCCTACCGAGGGTGTGCCAGGGTACACTTCAAAGGATGAAGACAGTCCAACGACGACCTCACCTCCGGATTCCCCTCCTGAGTATTACACTACCACAATTGCATCCACCACCGAGGTCATCGTTACCTCTTGTGCGCCAAATGCGTACGAGTGCCCAGCAGATAGCACTGTGAAATCGACGAGCACCGTCTACTTCACGACCACAGTCTCCGGCACTCAACCAAGCAACACCGACGTCTCGCCAACTGGATCATCACCACCAGGACCTCCTGGCTATGGTCACTCAAGCTTGACGTATTCCTACACGTTCTCTGCCAACACCACAATTGTTTCTCCTACTGGAGGATCTGGCTACCCAGTTCCACCTGCTGACTACTCATCGAGCTCAGGCTCAACTGAGGTCAGCCCAACCCAATCTACGTCTGCTCCGATCTACCCAACTGGACCACCAAGTTATGGATCTCCATCTAGCTCCAGTGGTGGCTCTATTCCAAGCTTCTCGTATGTCCCATCTCCGAGCTCGAGCTTGGCCTATCCAATTGGATCCAGTAGTGCTCCTACTGCACCTGCCTACGGCGGCTCTTCCTCAACTACTGCCTATGCATCATCTTCTAGCATCGCCTATCCTGTAGGCTCCAGCAGTGCTCCTACGGCCCCGGCCTATGGCGGCTCAACCTCTGCACCGGCATACCCTCAGTCCTCTGCTCCAGGATACGGTGCTAGCAGTTCAACCACTTCCTTCATTTACCCAATTCCAAGCAGCAGCACTGAGTCCAGTCCTGAGCAGTCCAGCTACGCTCCACCTGGATATGGGGGCTCCTCCTCTTCGGTCGCCTACCCAGTCTCCTCGAACACCGAGAAGCCCCAGCAGTCCACCGGCGTTCCACCAAGCTACGGAGGTAGCTCTTCTTCCTCCACAGGCAGCACTGAAGTGAGCCCAACCCAGACCTCGAGCGCCGAGGTTCCTCCTGGATACGGACAGCCAAGCTCTTCTTCTGAAGCCAGCCCAGAACAGACTTCTAGCGCAGCTGTGCCACCAGGATACGGATTGCCAAGCTCTTCCTCTTCTACTACTGAAGCCAGTCCAGAGCAAACTACCAGCGCCGCGCTTCCACCCAGCTATGGTGGTGGTGAGACAACAACAAAGACTACCGAATCCAGCCCCGAGCAGACCACCAGCCCCGCTTCTCCTCCAAGCTACGGCGGTGGCGAGGACACGCCAACTTCTTCCGAAGCCAGCCCAGAGCAAACTTCAAGCGCCGCAGTCCCTCCAGCCTACGGCTCTCAAAAGCCGTCCGAGACTGAGTCCTCTCCAGAGGAGACTGCACCACCATCATATGGCGGAAATGACAACGACTCCGGCAAGCCAGACAACTACGAACCAGAAAAGCCATCGAAGACCGAGTCTTCTCCAGAGCAGACTGCGCCACCTTCATATGGGGGCAACGACAACGGCAGCAAAGACAACGAGGCCGAAAAGCCAGACACCTACCCGAAACAACCAAACAGCTACAAGCGCAGCAGGAACGCCCGCAAGTTCCGCGGCTAAACAGCACATCCACTTACCTATCTTACAACTGAGCTGCAACTAGCAGTCAAAGCACCAAGCTTACCACATGTCTTGATAATCCCTTACCTACAACAAGACAATCGGGCACAGTCAAAAGGGGAACACGGGATCTATGGACACGGAAATGGGCATGGATATGAGACTTGTACGAATAGCATATCAAACAACAGCAACAAAATACTTGCACAGACAAAAACAGAGAACATTTGCACAGAATTGGGATGAAGGCATGAGAGTATTGCATATAGACTTGCGAAATCATCAGAGATGAATATTCTTCGCATCAATGCGTGCCTCACAAGCCTCCGTAATGTGGAAACGACTCCACTGTCATTCTGTTTTCTACTCTGTACTGCACGACGGCCTTTCAATGAGCAGGGACACGTCCGGCAGGCGCAGTAGAGACATTGCAGCATGGCGTCAAATTTTCTGATGAGTACCTCAGACCGAATGCCATCTCATGTTGATCCTGATATTCACGATCAATGGCACGAATAATGTTCGATGTGCAGAAAGTCACATGGCACATACAATGACCACAACGCAGCGAGAAAATCTTTGTTTGTGCAAAAGAGATCATTCACAAATGGAAGAGCTGGCTGGAGCTCTGGAACTTGCGTTGTCCAAATACAAAGATATCTAATCTTTTGCAATGTCAGCGAGAGCAGTCACAATGCTCCGAGCATCGCTGCCAACGTCTTCGAGCGTCCACTTTGCAGTCTCATTCCCGCCTTTGAGCTCCAAAGTGCCCTCGTCCGTATGCAGTTCTACTGAAGCCGACAGCTGACCAGCAGCTCCTTTTCTGACAAGCAGTCCACTCCTAGGCTGGAATTTCCAACCCTCGCATTCGGATGTAAGGTACTGAGCGACCGCGTCAGTGATATACTGATCAACGTCCTCCGTGAGGTCTTTGAGATTTGTCCAGTCAAATGTCTGCCCCTCCTTGACGTAGCTGAAGGTGTGCCACACGGTGTCCTCAGGCGTACTGCCGACCGTGAGCTTGAAGGGTGGAAGCGAGGCAACTTCAATGGAAGCCGTCGCCGATGATTGTCGGAAAAGAGCTTCGTACAGGGACTCGGTAGTTATTGTGCCTTCTGTATCGATCGGAAGTTCCACGCGTGCCTTGTGCACAGTAGCAGGAATTTGCGCTCTCTTCAAGAGAGCACCCAATCTGTTAGCATATGCGTTGATCTGATGGACATTGGCACTATGACCCATGAACACCAGTATTGGCGCAAGTATTTGCAAAGGCTCTTTACGGTCTTCCTTGGTTTTCATGGGGGCAGGGACTTCAGCCTTCTGTTTGGTGCGTTTGCGATGCGCTCGTCCGAGTAGAAGTCGAGCAGTGAGCATGAGTGCATTGGCAACTTGATCTTGCGAGCCGTCACTGTCCACATCGTTGTTTTCATCGAGCGACACCAGATCGAGCTCGACTTTGATACTACCAATGGCATCATTATACGTGAATGTGATCGAATTGCCTTTCATCGTCACGCCCTGCCCGTACAGGGTTCGAGACTCTCGGATCATTTCGTGATATAGTTCTTCGTCAAAGAGACTGTCCCTTGCGTGACGAACTCTTGCTTCCAGTGTCGGCTCTCGTTCTTCCGGCAACAGTGGTAGCCTGGAAGTTCCCACAACGCGATTGCCCCTCTTCAAGATCGCTCTCACCGCCTGCGGACGGGCACCAATACCTCGTTCAAGTGTGATGTTGCCCTCGTCATCTTGGATCAGTGCAGCCGTGGTCCGCCCTGACCTCGTGCTACCGTTGAAGCCAAAGTGCACGCACATGTGCTTCTGACCGGGCATCCGACTAACATTCCAGCCTTTTGCCATGATCTCCTTGATTTGTGACCAGTACCGCGCCTCTTTCCTAACATTATCCTGCAATCTTGCAGCAGCTGCGAGCAAGCTGTCTGCACTTTCACTGAGGGATTTGGCGCGTACGTTGGTCGCAATGATTCTGTTTTGAGCTTCACGAGCGGGATCGGCAGGAGTGCGAGCCCAGACATCTGCTCCGATGGAAGCTGTCGGCACAGTTTGCTTCGCTATCTGTGAGATAGTCGCAGCACCTTGAGCAGGGGCGTACGTCGATTCGAGGATGGAAATGGCATCGAGGGCGATCATGATATCTTGGTGAGCCTGCCCGACGTGGGTGAGGAGCTGCTGCCGTATCCCATATAGATCCTGACGCGTAGTGGGCCTCTGGTCGCCATCTTGCACTTCATCGTCCTGCTCGTCGGCGCCATCGTCGGTGTTGGCACCAGATTCGGGGTTCTCATCTGCAGCCATTTCTGCCCTCAAGCTTTCTTCGGTGATGTCGCGAAAATGGCCGCGCTCGAACTGCAGTTGCTGCAGCCGTTGCCCAAGGGTTGGCGCAGGCTCTCCGGACGACGCCCAAGGCGTGAGGGTGGCATCGTTCGCAGCCATGGCGGCGTGGTCAGTGGTGCTGCCGATTGAGGTCGGAGTTGCGACAAGGTGGGAAGATCATATCGGCGGGAAGACGCGACGCGCAGAGGCACGTCAGGGATCGGCGACAGGGATTAGAGCGCTAAGCGAGCGCTAAGACCAGGCGTGCATGTGCAACGGCCAGGTCCGATAGCCAATGTTGAGTTGCTGTTTCTTCCAATCTTCTCTCTCACTCTGAGCCTTCTCAAGTCACAATTCATCAGACACCAGAGAGAATCGCACCCAGATAAGCTTATCAAAGATGACCACCCGATATCGTGTCGAATGTGAGCCAGCATGATTGTCAGCGTCCCAAGAACGAGCTGACACCTCGCAGATGCCCTGAAGGTTCGTTTGCCAAGCGAATGCGGTATAGATGAATGATTGCTGATGCTGTATAGACGCACAGACGAGATCAGTTCGTAAGTTATATCTATCTGGAGAAAGGAGTTGAACCTTGTCTGATCCATATCAGATCGAATGGATCAAAGGTCTTCTCGCAGTGCCATTTGTGCTGCTCTCCCAGCCCACCAACATCCATGAAGCGGACAAACCCAGCGTGGCCAAGATGGCCAAGTCAGCGCACGAACGCTATGCTCAGATCATGAAAGATGTCGAAGACCTGCTCGAGGATCATATTGCACATCAACGGCAAGGCAACGAGAACAGATCCAAGCTCAAACTCCTCGTGCCCTCAGTCGGCACCTTCTTCACACCCTTACCTCTTCAAGATGCATTTGACTGGCAAGATAGGAAGCGGCACATCTCCTCCCGCCGCTTTGTGGCTCCGTCTTTCAATGATGTTCGACTTGTTCTCAACACAGCTCAGGCCATGGCTCTCACGAGATCCGGCAAGCTCGAACTGGTGACTTTTGATGGAGATGTCACACTATATGATGATGGCCACAATCTCTCACCTGATAACCCAGTCATTGAACGCATTCTCGCACTCATGAGGAATGGCTCACGAATCGGCATCGTCACGGCAGCGGGGTACACAGAGGCTGAGAAATACTATCAACGTCTCTTCGGTCTCCTTGATGCCGTGGCGAGCGAGAAAGGTGATCTTGATCTCAACAATCGACTTGTCGTGATGGGTGGAGAAGCCAACTTCCTGTTCCGATTTGATGCCAATGCTCCACACAAGCTTGAACCCGTTGCAGACGCGGAGTGGCGCTTGCCTGAGATGCAGACATGGACAGAAGAGAACATTGCCGACTTACTCGATGTTGCTGAAGCAGCACTGAAAGACTGTGTTGAGGCAATGAACATGCCAGTGCAAGTGCTGCGCAAAGAACGTGCCGTGGGCATCTATCCGCCGAAGGTATGATACGACCTCGAGAACGGCGTAGCCTTCTCAATCTCTGCTGACACTGTGATCCAGGGCAAACTCTCCCGCGAACAGCTCGAAGAAACGGTACTCGTCGTGCAACGCATCCTCGAAATGTCACCCGCCGGCAAACGCATACCCTTCTGCGCCTTCAATGGTGGCAATGATGTCTTTGTCGACATTGGAGACAAGTCTTGGGGTGTCATGGCCTGTCAGCGGTACTTTGGCGGAATCGAAGGAAGTCGTAGCTTGCACGTCGGAGACCAGTTCCTCAGTGCCGGGGCAAACGACTTCAAAGCGAGATTGGCGAGTACGACAGCATGGATAGCGAACCCAGCGGAAACAGTGAGCTTGCTGGACGAGATCCTGGAAATGGAGAATAGCAAGTGAGTGCATCGAGAAAGAGCGTAATATTAACAAATAGCCACTCAGAAGCATCACTCTCTCCTGAGTAACGAATTTCTCACCCTCTACGGCGTCATGTTTGACCATCTCTGCCCTATCTTCGTTCATGCCAAGAATCGAATCAGTATATCATGTCGTATTTCGCATGTCAAGGCACGAGAAAGCTTATTTTCAGTACGAGATCACACTCTTTATAGACTGCGACACCGTAAGCTTACTAAGACTATCTATAGCCATTCGGGATCTCACTCTAAGGCTCCAATTCACACATGCCACGAGAGCATAAAATTCTATTCCATTCTGCCTGTCAGCACGCAATGTCTCGTATCCGTCATTCGACTCAACTCTCCCGCTCGCGACGGACACCAAATGGACTCAAGGCGCCGGTGCCGTTCGTGTTCACTTCGAGCGAGAACATGTTGTATAAAGAAAGGCTGGCTGCAATGACCTACTCTCTCCGGCCCTCTTACCACTTACTCGCAGAAGCTGGTCGGCTTACTACAGAATCTTTCACTCGCCGTCACATCCAACAAAATGAAGCCCTTAACCCTCTTCTCCGCTCTCACTTACGCTTCTTCGAGCTACGCGGTCTACTGCTGCCTCCCTGTTGCAGCGGAAATCCAGAATCAACTCATGTGTACTGATGGTGCACAATCTCAATGTGTAAGTTGTCCCTTTCCCCTGTTTGGTCCCCCAACGTTCATTCTGAAAGAATTTCCCGATAATGGCAATTGAAAGTTTCGATCAGCTAACGTGAACGACACCGCAGTGCTCCAAGAATTCTTACAAAAGCTGTGGGAACCGTGGGACGTTTCAGCACCAATGGCACAGAGCCAGTTACAGTGATATTTCCTGTATTGGTGGAGGGGTTCTAGCTTGTGTTGTGTAAGAATCGAAGCAATTGAAGGAAACGTGATGTGAGCGAAGGTGAATGTTCAGGTGCGTTGGGTGGATGGCACATTTGAAATATAACTGCCACACATCCTGTAAGTCCCGTCCCTCTAATACCGTAAGCTGACTAACTCGATCATCAGTAAGATCAGTCTGTCTAAACAGATATACCATGCGAACGTGCAACTCTTAATAGATCATTGGCACATTGCACAGTCACCACTTTACGACTTTGCTCGTTCATACGAATCTATTAAAACTACCGCGCGTGTGAACCGACAGCTTTTCTACTTATAGATCCGATGCCATCCGTTTCGAACCAAGACATGAGCATGTCGTACAGAAGCAAGACATGCTCACAATATGATATTCTACCCACTTGACGAGAACTTTTACACGAACTCAGCACCTTCATCACCATCAACACCAAAACTCTCACCATGAAACTCTCCATCCTCCTTTCAACCCTTGCATACGCCTCCTCTGCCTTCGCAGTCTTCTGCTGCATCGAAAACGCCGGAAACGAAAACGATCTCACTTGCAGTGGAGGCATGGAGCCGAGATGCGTACGTTGATCTGCCCTTATGAACACCCAATTCTCCTCCGAGGCCTGCTGACAATACATACGCGATGTGTTGTAGTGCTCCCGCAACACCTATAATACCTGCAACAGCGAACGTCGTGGGACGTTTAGAACAACTTGGAGACGTGGCAATCCTGGGACGATTCCGTGTAAGGGTGGAGGCGCGTTGACTTGTGTTACGAATAACATATAGATGAGGATCTGCATGATGATTCATGGAGAAGTGTTACGGATAGGCAAGAGATGAGGAAATATTGTTTGGTTTCTCTCCGAGGGAATTGAAACAGTAGAAAACAGAAAGCTGAGAAAAGGGAATGAGGTATGCAACAAAACATCTGGTATCATTCAAAAATCCATTACATCAAATTTCATCTCTTAATTTCATACAGTGACACTTCATCGTCATCGTCGAATCAGTAGAACAATCTACTGGCGTCCACTGCTAGTCCCATCCTCTGGACCAGGAAGTCCCTCCTCATCACCAGGCTCAGCATAAGTGCCCTTCTGCTTCGCAGCACCACGCGTGCGCGAGTCCAAGATGTTGCTCTCATCGACGTCGCGGTCGTCCTTCTCTGTTGAATAGTTAGCTTTCGAAGCATTGAACTTGTGCGTGTAAGATGGATTTACCTAACTGAGCATCCGAGTCGGCATTCTCGCCATAGCCTCCCTCCTCAACAGCGGCATCGTCCTTGACGACCGGGATTCCGTATTGATTCTGGCCAGTACGGCTTGCGTAGTCGTTGTCTTGTGCGTCTCCAGCGGGAGCGTCACCGCTGATTTGGTCGTTCTGCTGCTCGTACTGCTCGTCGGCGGAGGAAGACATGTTGGGCGGTGTTTGGTTTGGTTTGATGTGTTGGAGTTGTTGACTTGTGTTACTGTTCAAGACTCCAGTGCTTGTGGATGATGTTCGACAAGCAAGAGGAAACATGCAGAACTTATACCTCTTTGCCTCTCCTTCCTGCGGTCAACTACATGTTGTCATGGGGCTGGGTGATGGGCTAAATCTCGTACGTCACTGCTGATGCATCTGTAGAACAGTAAGGCTCATCGTGTTTGAAGCGACGAAGGTGTAGTCACTCTGACATCAACTATAGCAGAGTTCTCGACACGTTAACGACGCAGGTACCATCAACAGACTTACCAAGTCATGAAGCAGATCTTGCTAGATCCAGCCTCGTTGAACCACAAAAGAACCCATGAGCACTTTTCAGCCACCGGACCTCGAAACATCACATCCCATTGGCACAGAGTGCTTCCCGAGTAATAGCATGCGCTGAAGAGTGTCTGAGCCGCGCATGTGCGAAGACTGAGGAGAGATGTGGTTGTCGCATGAAACGTCAATGACATGCAGGAAGCAGACTAGCGCGCCAGGAACAGAGTTCGATCGTACATGAAGCGCGCCGGGGAGACATGAACCCTGCAAGGTTAATCTAGCATTTTTGAGATCGCAAGAGATCTGGCGGATCTCTGGATCTTCAGACCAATGCAAGCACTACCGTTGAAGAAGAGGCTCGCGTACTGTTCGTGACGTGTAGGGTCCCTGATTCGCGTCGCCCGGAGGATTGCGGTACGTCGTTATGACGGCAGCAACAACGACACGATGAAGCCCTTCACATCAGAATGACATTGATGCAGAGTATCCTTGCGATGCGTGCATTGGGACTGGAAGTCATCAGGTGTTGATATTATTACACTGAATGCGTATAGAAGCTGTGGGTATCAAAAACTCATGAAGCTTGAACGCGCCAAGGACGCGTCGTCCACCTTGAGAAGCTCGCTGGCTTTCTAGGTTGCAATGCAGGAACGGTGTACAACTGTCGTAATGCTGTAGGGCATGTGTAGTGCCTCGCTGCACTGTTGCAAACTCGTGGTGAACAGGGAAATCCCGTGTGGCCTGAAACGTTCGACGAGTGCTGATGCCAAGAACGCTGGCAAGAGCAAAAGAGTAAGGCCGTCTAGTCCTCTTCGCTGGCAGCCTTCTTGCCTCTACCCTTGCGTGCCTTCGGAGCGGATTTCTTCTGAGGTGCGGGCTTCTCCTCTTCGGCAGACACGTCCTCGGTGTCGCTCGTTGGCTCAACTTTGGCTGCGGACTTGGCCTTACGTCCTTTGGTCTTCTTTGGTGCCGGCTGCTCGCTCTCCTCGGCGGACTCCTCAGCCACTTCTTTCTTGGCTGGAGCTTTCTTCTTTGACGTCTTCTTGGCCGGAACTGGTGCTTCATCTTCCTCTTCGGCTTTGGCCTTCTTGCCGCGTGACTTCTTCCGTGCTGGCTTCGATTCGGCCTCCTCGTCTTCGTCCTCTGCATCTTTGCGAGCTCGCTTCTTTGAAGGCTTCTTCTTCTGCTTGTCGCCCTCGTCATCGTCCTGACACAAATCAGCATTGGCAGATTTCAAAGGGTGCAAGTACTCACGTCATCTTTGCCCAGCTCCTTCTTCTTCTTCTTGGTCAAGAACATGCCTTGGCGTGGGTTGGCTGGGTCATAGCGATTCATCTCAATGTCCTACTCCACTCGTTAGTTCGATGCATCATACTTCATGTGAGGGGCTACTTGCGCCATTCCAATCCTCATCGTCAACGTGGCCTTGCTCCAGGGAGCGCTTGACTTTCTCTTGCGCATCTGCGGGGAGGTCATCGTAGCCATCGACGAGGTCAAGATCTTCGCCGGCGGTCTCCCACCAATTGTGTAGCACGGTGGGCGTCACGCAGCCCCTGGGTATATGTCAGTCATGGAAGATGAGAAGAGCAAGGCTGTGAAATACCAGTGGCGCCACTTCATGGACTGGTGTTCTTGGATCTGCACGAGGACTCCCTGACGGAGTTCCCCCTTCTGAATCTTGGATTCCGCCTTCTTGCATGAGGTATTGGAGCATCCCGAGCGACCCGTCTTCGCAAGTTCTAGTCTGGTCAGTTCCGACTTGAGTTTGTCATGGAGCAGGTATTTTCGACGCACCGACGCGGTAGCTCATCTTTGCTGTTGTTGCTGTCTGACGCCGCCGCGTTCGCGTGCCGAGACGCGTCCAAGAAACGAGCGGGTGGTGGAAGACGAGGCAACTGGAATCACGATATTGGGTTTGCGCTTGGAGCGAAGACTTCGGAACAGACGAATGGCAGTTGAAAAGACGCGGTGTTTGGAGAATGGGAAGTGTTTGTGGACTGCAACCCGCAGCAAGCAAGAACAGCCATCTCAGTCCAGGCGACAGTTGCTTGGCACTTGCAGGGATCCGGGCGATCGCGTCGGAGTCGCGAACGTCACTCGAGACTTTTCTTCTCGCAGCACCGCCGTCTTTCCTCTCATCTCTTTGCATCTGCACGACTATGCCACTGCGCCAATGAGAACATGGACGATCCGTAGAGCGCAGTCGATTGCCTGGACCAAGGCTCTGCGATGGACAACGCGACTCGCTGTGCGGCGAGCGCTGCATGTGGCGAACCCATCCAAGCTCGATGAGCCGTTAGGGGAAGCTTCGCCACAACAACTACTGGAGCCTCTGGGGAGGCGATATCAATTATTTCGAACAATCGAGCCTCCAGGACGTGATGTCACCTTATGGATGCCTCTGCTTGAAGGCGCACTGCCGCCGCATCTTCGTGATCCCAATGTCACTCCACCAGACATTACCCTTGGCGCTGTGGACGTCGCCCAGGTTCTGCTCGGCGCGCAATACCCGATGAATGCGGACGATAAACCCCTTGATCTCCTCTACCATCTTGGCATTGAACAAAATCGATGGACTGCTGTCGTTTGGCTGATCAAGAAGCTGGTTGACAGGTTCCCAGCTGCACACGCTGTCGAATCGCGCCTTGCAGGAGTGGGAAGTATATGGCAGAAAGTGCCAAATCTTGACGACGTCGACCGTCCGCTGGATCTCGGGGCACCAGACGCCCTCGTAAACGAGGATGCACTGCGGTCTCCATCGTTGGACGATATGCTCGATGGCCTACATCCGATAAACCAGGATCGAAACAATTTGCTGGGCCACGAGGTACTGGGACAAGTGTGGCGCACACTGGGCGCGATGATCAAAGCGTGTGTAGGAAACGACATGAGACCGGAGGTGCTGGAGATCATCGCCTACCTGCATCATCGGGAGGTTATGCCGCTGGCCATCTACCAGGCAGAGCCGAATCCTGATAGGTGCGCAATTCAACAGCCGCCTCTCATCCCATTCCTGTCATCACGGATCCTAACATCTCTATCCGATGCCGCTTGGCGCGCTCATGAAAAGCTCGTGATAGAGGAAGCCAAGGCTTACGGAGCTCTATCCTCACCTCGACCAGAAATTCGCGGAAGTGTCTTTCGCGTGCATGTAGCAGGCCTTCGTGCAGAGGTGTGGATGGAGCTTATACTATGGTCGTGCCTGTACGGAGGTTGGACTCGTGAAGGCGCCTTGATCCTCAGGTCGCTGCTCGCAGATCGACCCAAGTCCTGGACCCTGCTGTCCTGGACAGACTACCAGAAATCTCTCCCTGAGAACTATTCTACAGAGCCACGAGACTGGAGGTCATGGGAATTCCTCTTCAAAACAAGATCGAAGACATCGATGGATGATGTCCAGTCGCCGAAGCCTTCTGTAGTTCGCACGATCAGCAGCGAAGTAGTCAATGCTTATGTGGACGCACTGTCTTGCGATGTCAACATTGGCGTAGGAACTCGAGGGACTGACATCGAAGTGGTGATGGATTGCATGCATACCATGAGACGCTCCTTGGCGGAACAAAAGCAAAGTCTTAGCTTTGGCACGTGGGGCGGGATCAGCTTACGACTTCTCGACACCCGCAGTGCTGCACCAGAGACAGACAGTAATCTTGCTCAAAGACTGGTTGCTCTGACTTCTGGTTTTGGAAGTGACCTTGACACGAGCAACAATCAAGACCTGCCAGCGTATGTCAAAGATGGCACCACAGCCATGCAAGGGATCTTACATCGCGCCCTTTACGGTCAAGTTTCTTCTGGATCCTTCGAAGGTAGCCTAGAAGTGTTCAATCGGATTCAGTACCGTGCAGATCAGGATAAATTCAGGGCTGTCGGGTCATTCTTCGGCAGGCTGAACCAGCGAGGAAACGTAAAGAAGGCGGCGAACTCGGTCTTTCGCGCTGTGAGTTCCCTAGGCATGTTCACAAGCAACCTTCCCACTATTGAATATCCCGGGTTCCACGCTCAGATTCCGCTCACGACGTTGGCGCTTTTGCTGGACCAGGTCACCGAAGCGAGAGCTTTCGATTTCGGCCGCTGGCTGATTTACAGCAGAGACGTAGATGGACCGGTCATACCCAAAACCTCCTACGACGACCCAAACTTGCAGCCAGCTCTGATCCGGTTCGCTGCTGCCAGTAATGACAAAGCCCTCTTGTCCCTTTTTAAGGACAGCCGCCTTTCCCGAGCATCGCTGGAGTCGGTTCTGATCAGTCAGATTCAGGCACTCCGGTGGGACGCTGCGCAGGAAGCATTAGACTACCTCTCCAGCATACCAGGCCCAGGCCTTGGTAGTCAGCCTTTGGCTGTTGCAATACGGACTATGCTTGGACAGATCACCGACCTCAAAGGCGAACAGAGCGATACATCCGCAAACCTGTCCCGAGCGCAATCATTTGTCAGGACTATCGCCAAACGCCAACGCAAACTTCGAACACAGGCCAGTGTGTCATTGCTGGCTGTGCTAGCAGCGATCAACAAGCGCTGGTTCGATTTTGCGTTCCCTCTGTGCCCAAAGAAATCCAATCACCCGCTTCAACTCGATACCAGCAAATTCAATATGTTACTCGAGGGCGTAGTTGCCGCACATGGCAGCGTTGGTGGTCGTCGTTTGCTCGGGATATTCTGGCCGCACTCCGCACGACGCACACATGATGCTGCTTTCAACATGGTTCGTAGTAGCGCAATGCGCAAAAGGATGCCACGCATGCGAGCCAGAGCTCTCAATAGCTTGAAGCGGCAGAGGATTGTGATCTCTTCGCCGAGGTCAGGTGACAGGAGCAGACTGGTTCTTTACGGGGCGATATTCCCCGATGTCAACACGATCCTTATAATCCTTCGCAAAGCGCTTGAAGAAGTCAAGGCATCGCCACATCCTTCGAGCTCGGACGACCAGGAACTTGTCGCACCATCCCTTACCGAGAAAGATACTGGTGAGGAACTAGATCTCTCGCCACGTGGTATTGTTGCTTGGGCGGTCCGAAGACTTGCCGAACTCCCCTATGTACAGCGTAATATTGTGAAGCAGCTGGATGTATTCCTGAAGGAACAGGGCATGAACGAGCTCCGCAAGGACCTTCCCGCGATTTACGAAGATGTAGAGGCGGAGCTTCTGGACAACTTTGCCGATGACGAGGTGCATGCAAGTCCGCAACAAGCAGAACGGCAAGCAGGCCATGATGACAACACATTGCGCGATGCACATTGAGAGATGCTCTGTGGCTTTGACTTTGATGATGAAGGTTCTTGGCTGCGATCTAGCACGCGAGAACGAAAGCAATTTCGCGCAGCTCCTCAAATCCCGCCGCGCTGGTTGTGCCATTTTGATCGATATGCTGTAGGCCTGACCGGCGAAGCATTCGCACGACCAAACATCATGAGCACGAAAATCGGAAAAATTCAACGCAGATAACGTTGACCGCGGCAGGTGACCTGGAAATGGGTGGTTGTACAGGAAAGTAGAGTGCTGCCGCCCTGAAATGGGCTATCATACTTGCGTTGTGGAACGAGATTGCTGTTGCACGACTGCGCATTGCTGTTCGCAACCAGGGGAGTTGGTGTGAGCCACCTCAAAAGTATTCGTGTCTCCGCTACAAAGGTGGCGTTCGAAACAGTAGACGAAACAGCGCCAGTGGAAATAGAGGGAGTGAACATGGAATCACAAGAAATGGAATGGCAGGAAGAGAAAGGAATCAAAGCGAGCTAAACGAGCAAAGCTGCAGAACTTCACACATTTCCGCTTCTACAGAAATATAAATTTGTAATAAACATTTCTGTATATCTGTGTACCACGTATTACAATTATTGCTCCTTCGTCTCACATCACACGTTTCTTTTGTCATGTCAAATTAATAATCTCGCTTTGAGCTGCAGTAGATGCGTGTGTGCGGCACGGCGACAATTATCATTCGATCCTTGAATATTATTCTCCGTCTGGCTATGTTAGACCCATGGAAATCACTTCATTCTCAAATCTTGGAGTGAAAATTTGTCGTTGGTGTCGCCAATCTGCTTGCTGCGCGAATGCAAAATAAATAGACTGAGGAGAAGGTTGCTGACAATGTAAAATTGATAGAAATGGAAGCCAAAATATGTAGTGGAAGAGGTAGAGGGCTCTCATATAATCAAGGCAAGAAAGGATGAGATTTCTCTAATGTTATTGAGGAACGCTGCGACGAGGATATAAGAGTACAGAAGCATCGCTTTGAAAATTTGGGCGTTAGTGTGAAAGTCATTTTTCGAATTGAAGTCATGTCTGCCCCCCTCTGTCTGCGCTACTTCGCCAACTCGACCCATGAAGGGGAGTCAAAGCTACTATAGTACAAAACAAGAATCAACATCCATCGTCTTGACAGACCAGATTCCCCAGAGACCAACAATAACCGATAACAGCCAGCTTTCCAGCAATGAGCCAACATCACCCTTGCGGGGAGTCAAAACTCATGCATAAAAAGCGGCACGTACATCAGTTCAATCGTCGGTCTTGAAGTCGCTCAGTCTATCATCTTCCATGCCCGAATGCCCAGGCGCCTTCCTTCCGTATCATTATCCTCCTCAGTGTACTGTTCCCTCCACTCTTGACGTACCCAAAACCTCCTCGGAAAAAAGCAGAAACGCCAGCCGTGCCATGCGAGAAAACAAGCGCAAACCCCAGAAATGCCTCCACGTCGCTCAAAGGGCATCTTTTACACGCCATTCGTCATCGCCAAGTCCTCTTCGCTGGCGGGTGCAGTGATGATGCTGAACTGGCCACCAGTAGTAGCCCCGTTCAACAACTTCTCTCGCACAGCTGTGTTGTCGATCAACTTGGCGACGGGGACATCATCATCCGTTCCTTGACCTGTCTGGTAATTCGCCGAGAAACCCCACGAGTATGCCTGGCCTTCCTTTGTGATGACGATGTTGTGATCGGAAGCAGCAGATACGTGAACGACTTCTCCTTGGATGGTCGGGATCTTTTGTGGTTGGGCAAGGATTCGCGGCCGGCCGGAGTCGTCTTTAATTGTCGCCTCTGCTGGGAGCTTAGCGAGGTCGTCTTCTGAGATACCAGTCTGCGCGCCGTCGATACGGCCCCAGATGAGACACGCTCCGTCCTCAGTTGCGGCAAGACTGTGGTGGCCTCCGCCTTTGATGCTTGTGACATTCTTGCCCTTGAGTGCGGTGACGACTCGAGGGTTCATGATGACTGCATCATCTTGTCCAGCGTTGTCCATGATGCCTGTCTCGCCGAAGTTATTCAAGCCCCATGCGTAGATGTCTCCCGTCTTTGCAATGGCGAAGCTGTGGTATGCACCAGTCTGAATGGATGTGATGCCCTTCTTGGGGCCCTTGGGCAGTCCGAACTCGCGTGGGAAAAGCGCTTCGGTCTTCGTTCGCTCAACAATGCGGCGGCCAAGCTGATTCTGCTGCCCTGAACCCCAAGCAAAGACAGCTCCTTTGGTGTCCATGGCCAGGGCATGGTTGGCTCCAGCCTTGATGCTGGTGATGTTCTTCAGTCCCGGGATGAGAACGGGGCGTGTAGCGACTTTGACCTCCTGAGTAAAGCCGAAAATGCCGTCGTTGCTGCGGAACGTGCCCCATCCGTACACCTTGCCATCGTCTGTGAGAACGAATGAGGTCGAGTCGCCGGCTGCCACTTCGACGAAGCGCGTGCCCTCTGCAACCTCTGTTTGCGACCAGTCTACCTCACCCGGCAGCGCCTCTTTCGGATTCAGCCCATTGTCATCGCCTTCCTCGGAATCACTGTCTGAACCCGCATCGTCCATGTCTTTGAGTCCGCCATCCCAGGTGGTATCTCTGCCGAGTGTGCCTTGATCGTTGACGCCCCATGTCAAGATCTTGTTGTCAGATGTGAGAGCAATGGCGTGCATCCCACCAGCCTCGATCTGCACAACTCCGACTTTGCTTGCTGATAGTTCTGGGTTCAAACGTGGCCGCTTCACGTCGATGCTCTTCTTTGCTGTGCCCAGGCCCAGCTCACCGGCTGTTCCCTCGCCAAACACGTAAACATTCAGCTTTTGCGTGGGCGCGTCTTGAAGGATGGGTCCTTTCGTCAGAACCTTGACCTTCTTGGCTGGGGCGGCGGGAGCATCGTCGTCGGCGGCTTTGCGCTTGCGAGTCGTCTTTGCGGGCGCCTCGGTCTTCTCTTCGGCCTTAGCCTTCTTCGTTGTCGTTGTCTTCTTTGTGGTAGCTGTAGCGGCATGTAAGTATCCGTGCACATCGATAAAGCACAGCGGTAAGGACTCGAAAAGACGCGTCATGTTTGCTGTTTTGCAGCGCGCATTCTCACGCCTTCCATGCTGTCCTCATATACGTGGAGATTGAACTTACTCTTGCCCTTTGTGGCAGTCTTCTTTGTCTCAGCCTCGCTATCTGTCTCGGTAGCCTTCTGTCCGCGTCGCTTCGCCGTGCCGTTTGTCTTGGCCTTAGCGGCTGCTGTCTTGCCTTTCGTAGCCGGCGCGGGTTTCACGATCTTGGCCTTGGTGTTGGCCTTTGGTTTGGTGGTCGTCGCGTCTGTGTCTTTGGGCGCGGCGGTGCGTGCGGAGGCGCGTTTCGGAGGCATCGTGTTTGGCTCTTCGGATGCGGGCTTTTTCGTCTTGATATACTTGATCTGCGCCACTATTTTACGGTGTCAGTCGTGAATTCCAAAGACAGAGGGAGGTGTGGTGGTTGCGCCGACGAACTTTTGATGGGCTGAGGAATGTGAAAGCGCTGCTGCGGCTACGCCACGTGCAATGTTCACTCGGGTCGCGTGTCGAAGATGACGCTATGCGGTTTCTGAATATGCGCGCGTCGAAAATCAAAGTGCGCGGATCGTGGTCGCGGTGATTTTGCAGTTGTGTTGATGAATCCAAAAAGTGTCTGTGTGCACAGCTCGCGTCGAGATGATCACATCCTGGGAGAGCTTCGGAGCTCCGGGAGTGCTTCGGCTGCCTGCATCTACACAACACCAGAAATTCAGGCACCGAAAGCCAGTTCTCCCTCCACAGACAAAGCAGCCTGCCGTAAATACATCGGCTCTCTGCAGCAACACTGGCCTGCGACTTCAGCCTCGTCTAAGGCCGCGCCTACCAACATGGTGTCTCATTGTGGCAGTCGAGAGCACACCGAGGATCAGGACTCACTCGGCAGCAAGAGGACACGGATACATCTGTGATGGCGGCAACATGGTCTATGTTCTCCCTGGCCAGCTCTCAACTCACATACGATTCAGAACTGCCGGTTGTTGATGCGCTGTGAGCTCCCGCCGGTCTCTTACAGTCTGTGGGCAGGCACCGAGAGCTGAGCTGGTATCGCGCGACCGTTTGCACCAAGAATTCCCGCCATTCTCCCTCGGACGATGTTCAATCGTCACTTAGCTCTTCGTTGGCCTTGTCGATGGACGGTGACGATGTCTTCGCACGCAGCATGTCGCCAAGAAATATAGAGACGCAGATCACGGAGGATCTAGCAACGCCGTCGCATTGCACGCATCATGCGCACTAAATCGTGCCAGCACAACAACATCGCCACGACGACGGGGAACGATGTCCCTTATATGGGGATGCTATACGAGGAATTCATGCCCCAAACGTATGCTAATCACGTTCAGCCTTTGTCCTTGCCCAAGCCGACTTATAGCCTGAAGCCGTGCAATTTGGCTCAGGCACGTCAGGTTGAGGAGGGGTCGTGGGGCTCCATACTGATCGACAAGGATGGATAAATTCACCTGCAGGTACCGCAATGCGCAATCGAATTACTCCGCGTAGGAACGCGAACTTCCTCCAATGACCAGACTTTCCTTCAATATAGACAACCTTTCGGTCCACAAATTGGCCAAAATGCTGCCAGCATACCAAGTCGAACGGCAAAACATGGCATCATCGTGGAACCATAGAACGTATGCAATTGTTCCTGCCAAGTGCTAGGCGACGAGTGTTCATGGTATAAGGTAGGAACTAGTTTCAAGGAGTTTCGTTGTGGTAGTCGTCCAAGGTCTCTACAATGAAGCAAGCATTGGTGGGTGCAGCCTGCATTGCCAGCTGTACAGCTGTGGATATTCGTGTCGCATCCTCTGGCGGAAACCTTACTGGCAAGTTTGGGCATCCTTATGGTTATGGCTTCCTCCACGAGGTGAGTATGCTTCGCGCTAGGGCCTTTCAATGCTAAGCCAGGCACAGGACATCAATAATTCCGGCGATGGCGGCATCTACGCAGAATTAATTAGAAACCGAGCGTTCCAGTACAGCCCTGAGTTCCCAGTATCTACTACCGGGTACTTTCCTATCGGCGGCGCTGAGCTGAGCATCGCCAACTTGAGTGAGCCTCTTTCACAAGCCCTGCCGGCTTCTTTGCAAGTCACAGCTGGCAACGGCAGTGGCCAGGTAGGATTTGAAAATGAAGGCTATTGGGGTATGGACGTCAGGCAGCAAAGGTACACCGGATCTTTCTGGGTCCGCGGAGGGTACAATGGCTCCTTTATTGCATCTCTGAAGTCAAACTTGACAGATGATGTTTTCGGATCTGTTGAAGTCGAGTCTCAAGCCACGCCAGACGAATGGGTTGAACACACCTTTGAGCTTGTCCCAGATCGCGATGCTCCGAACTCCAACAACACATTCTCTCTCACTTTCGATACAGCAGGCGTGGAGGGCGATACGCTGGACTTCAACTTGATCAGCTTGTTCCCGCCAACTTACAAAGACAGAAAGAATGGGCTTCGTATTGACATCGCACAAGCCTTGGCGGATATGAACCCACATTTCCTCCGCTTCCCAGGTGGTAACATGCTCGAGGGTCTCACGAACGACACATACTGGGACTGGAAAGACACTCTCGGACCATTGAAAGATCGTCCTGGGTTCCAAGGTGTGTGGGATTATCAGCAGACCCACGGCTTGGGCATCATGGAATACCTCTACTGGGCCGAAGACATGGGTCTCGAGATAGTCCTTGGTGTCTGGGCTGGTCTTGCGTTAAACGGCGATGTCACTCCTGAAGCTGATATCCAGCCTTTCATTGACGACGCCCTCAACGAGATCGAGTTCGTACGAGGCTCGGCCGACACTACCTGGGGCGCCCGCAGAGCAGAACTCGGTCATCCAGAGCCGTTCGAATTGAACTACGTCGAAATTGGCAACGAAGACTGGCTCGCAGGGTATCCAGGAGGTTGGGACAGCTACCGCCAATACCGCTTTCCACTCTTCTACAACGCAATCAGAGAGAAGTATCCAGACATCCAAGTCATCTCCTCCGCTGCTACATCCGACCCTGTCTCTGCGCCCGAAGACGCTCTCGATTTCCCTCCAGATGCCATCGGAGACTATCATCCCTACAGAACCCCCAACGAGCTTGTCGAGGAGTTTGATCGCTTCGACAACGACATCGGCCACATCGTTGGCGAAGTCGCCGCAACGCACGTCAACGGCGTGACCGAGCCTCGCTGGGAAACTGGTCTGTACTACTACCCATGGTGGCAAGGTGCCGTGGGCGAAGCAGTCTCTCTCATCGGCTACGAACGCAACTCCGACCGCATTCCAGGAACCTTCTACGCTCCTGTCCTCAAGAACGAAAATCGCTGGCAATGGGCCATCACCCTGATCCAGTTCGCCGCTGATCCAAGAATGACGACGAAGGCCGTGACGTGGTACTGCTGGTCTCTTTTCGCCCACCATCCTATCACCCACACTCTTCCCGCGCCATCCAATTCCAGCTTCGGACCTGTCTACTGGGGTGCCGGCAAAGACGAATCCCGCAATGACGCTTTCGTCTGGAAGGGTGCTGTGTACAACACCACGAACAGCAGCAGCGTGCCTATTTCGGTACACTTTGAAGGTATCACAGAAGGCACATTGGCGAACTTGACGGTTTTGACGAACTCTGGCGAGAATGGATATGCTTACAATGATCCTCACACTGGCATCAATGTCGTTGAGACCACAACGTCCATTTTGACAGCTGGCGCGGGAGGTGTTTTCAGCTTTACCTTGCCTGAGCTGAGTGTTGCGGTTTTGGACACCGATCAGGCCGGTGTTGGGAATGGCGGGAACGGGACTTCGCCTTCGCCGCCGCCAGGATACGGAACTCCTCCAGGGTATGGCAAGCCACCTGGGTACGGAAAGCGATCATTGAGACGCTTCGCGGCTTGAGGTGATGGGGAAGCTGCATGAGTAAGTAGATAGCACGTAACATGTCAGCCAGCGCTGCCACGCAGTTGCTGCATTTCACGGAAGTAATCCAACAAGCAATTTCTTCCTCCTCCCGCATGCTCCGCTGTCAGTCATCTTTCTATGACCACGAGTCCCACCCTCCTCCCTAGCTGGAACTAGATGTTCATCGAACTTCCGAACCACACCCACGTCTCTCCGAACACTTGGTGTCAATTTCTACACTGCAGCTTGTCGTCGATCAACGAGGGCTCCACTCGAAATCGAGCTGTTTTGAGACGCGGCGAATGACATTTTGTTTGGTGACTATGGTGTTGGATGACCAAGTATTCGGTGACTCAACGTCTCAATCTGTGCTCCGACAAGCCATCGATCTCCAGTGCCCTGGGACGGTTCGGCAACACGTTACGCTACGTTCGAATCAAGGACTTCCCTTCTGCAGCAGTACTAAGCCGTAATAGCTAAGTAGGGCAATATCAAGATCAAGTTTGTAGACCTACAAGATAAATTCTACGTGCAGGGGAGTGGAGATTCTTCGGGCAACGAGACGAACAGTACGAAAATCACTTATTTACTCCCACTGAACGGTTGAAATGGACTGTGCGGAGGTCTGAGTAATCGCAGAAGAGCAGAAGTCCTACGACCTTCTCGATATCAGCTACTGCTTGTGGGAGTCTGTTCTGAAGAAGTCCTTGGTCAAGTTCAGCTTCGAGTTCCCACTACGCAAGTGCCGAACAGCTCGTTACAGTCAAGTTCGCTCTCATCAGGCGCCTATTACCAGGTAGAGGGCAGCTAGCAGTTGGCTATCGAGAGTGGTCGTATTAGCGGCCAGCCTAAGCACTCTCGGCATGCTTGAGGTCTTGCAACAGACGCTGATGCCACCGACTGTAACACGGACTGATCGTCCAAGTGAATAGTACGGCAGACTATGAATGGGGCCTAGAGCAGTGACTGTATGAGATTAGCTTGTTCTCCTTCGTGTTACTCCGACTTCTATCCTTCCTCCTCGATAGATATCGTACTCGACACATACCGAACTCGACACCCCCTCATCATGCATTTGAACATGTACCTATCCAGTCTTTTCTTTCTCTGGAGCATTAGCGCTACTTCAGTCGCTGCGGCTGGAAAAGGCGTACGCATAAAGAGCACAAACAGATGTCAGATCGATTATCCTAACACCTCTTCTTATTAGGGGTGCATCATTGCAGCCGGATACCCCAACGGTGTCTGTCAATGCAGTAACCATCCGGGGGGTGCCTATGAGTGTTATGCTGTAAGTCTCACGAACATCTGATTTTTCAAGGTCTGATACAAATGTATTGTAGTCTTCTCCATGCTCGACCGACACCTCAGGGTGCTGGTGCTACGAAGACGGTTACGCGCAGTGCTTGTAGATTTGCTGGCTGTCGGGAATCGCAGCAGGGGAGCTGGAACAATGCGCTTTCGCACTTCGTAGAACGAGCGATACGAGGCTGAGTTTACCAGCAGCGGGTTAGGGCATAGGTTTTGCCCCGGAGATAGCGAAATACCTTATTCACTTGGAAGTGGCCCAAACGACTTCCTCCTCACCTCGAATTTTCTGTTTCCAGTCACTTTTCTGTGGCAAAGTCTTGCGACTTTCCTACATCAAAACACATTCTCAAATTTCCATACCACACCCTCGTCTCTCCCGGTTCTAAGTGTAAGGTCTCACGCTGCACACTGGCATCTATGAACGATGGCTTGACCCGGGAATGAGCACCAGCTGAGGTGTCGAGGCGCGGCCGCGCATGATATTGCGTTTCATGACTATTGTATTTGATCACTAAACCACCGGCCCTGCACTCGGACAGACCAGGTGAAGATTGCGAGCAACAGC